ACCAACCGAGCATGAAGTGAATGCCCTCACTGATCTTTGAGAGGAGAAACCTGGCTGGAGCTCGGTGCTCACATTCCGTCAATAACACAAACACGTGATGGTTTCATTTGATATTGATTACCAGTGATTTCCAGTCAGCCGCTGGTCCCCGATGAAGAATCCCGTCCGCGCAACACACCGCGTTCCAGCGCAATGTCCGCCGCTGGACATCGCTCCGTCCCCCCCACCGATGGAAGCGTGAGGCGCAACAAACTGAGACCTCGGTCGTGATTTAACGAGAAAATGGCGAAGGGTCGAGCGAACAGCCTGTTTGTTTTATTCACCGGCTGCTCTCAGCGCGTCTCTCGGTCCTGGATAAGCCTCTTTAGTGAAGGTGCTGTGTGGTGGAGGCACTCTGGGTTTTCCAGTCAGCTCACAATTAGCAGAGGAACACCCCCCCTCCTTTCCCTCCTACTTCTCCTCCTCCTCCTCCTCCTCCTGGATGTCCACACACTTGGGTTCGGTTTGAAATCATTCAAGAGGATTTGGGCCTGAGCAGCCAATCAGGAGGAGGTGTAGGAGGAGGTATAGGAGGGGGCAGCAGGTGGAGGAGAAGAGAAGTGAAGCCTCATCACTGTGAGGCTCAGCCCTCTTAAAGCAACAGTCACACAAGTTCAACACAGGAAATTATGTTGATCTATTAAATCAATCAAAACTGTGGCTTAGGACACTATGTGTAGAAAATCATATAAATACACTCACACACACCGACTGCAATGTCCTAATAACCATATCTATGCAAATCTGTGTGTACACAAGTGTACAACTTTACAAATAAATATCATTACACTTTTATTTTTGATTTTACTTATTTGTCTTATATATATGTGTGTTATTTGTGAAGTTGTATATCTGTGTGTATGTGTGTGTTTATGACGTACATAAAGCACAAGACACGGATTACATTTAAATCCCTCTTTATTAAAGGCCTGTGTAAGTTATTGTTCCAGTTACTAGATTCAACTCGAAACCTGAACCTGATCAGTTTCATCTTAAAGTAACAATCTTTCAGTTTCAGTTTAACAAGCGCTTTTGAGATTTCTTTGCAGGGTTACAGCGCCCTCCTGTGTACACTGTCAGTAAGGCCCCACAACGACAGGAGGCTCCACTCCTCTTTCTGATTTAGGAGGTGTGCTAGTGTCCACAATGGCCAATACCACTTTAGCCTCCATGTTGCATTTGAATGTGATTTCACTGTACTGGAAAGACAGTTAGAGTATAAATGTTCAGTATATTACTAGAGTGTATTTAATCAGTAGGTATATGAGGCTGTTTTGGAGCATGACTGTGCTCTATGTGTCAGAGTGCAGCTGCAGACGGACCTCCAGAACAGACCTCCTGCACCACACCTAACACCTACTGCTCCTCCAGGCTTCCCAACACTTCCACTGACATCACCACCCTTTGTGTTGGGGTGGATATAGACTCGAATGCGAGGGAGATACCTAAGTTATACATCTAGGATTGCTAAATCAGTGGCCATAAAAGGGCTCAATCTACACAGAGGAGCCAATCATATGTCCAAGATTCATGCACAATCCCTGATTTAGTAAGGTGTACATTTAAGTCATTACTTCTTTACTGCTAGCTCTATAGCCTTGAGCAAAGCCACATATCATTGAATATATTTTGAAAAGAATTCCTTGTTTAAGCACAATGTGTTCTTCAAAAAAGCTTAAAACTTCCTGATAAATTGTCATATTTATTGTCAGTATTGTTTGTATTTATGTTTGGATCCTTCCCTGGTAAGATGGGGAGCCTTCAGAGTCTGAGATGAAGATTTAATTCTGAATCAGAGCAAATTTCATGACACAACTGGATTTGAGAAAGACTTTCGGCAGACAAGTACATGACATCCACTGTGGCCAGTCCAGAGTAAAAGGACATGGACAGATTAACATATCTCCATGGGAAATCACTTCTCAGACAGATTCACTCAGATTACACAGGGAGCACCATGTCCGCTGTGGCACTGCAAAACGTGGAACGTCATGAAATCCATGCAGAGAGGTCAATTCTGGAAAGACACCAAAGAAAGAACGAGAAAAGTGCAGATGGACATCAAATGGCTCAATGACAACATTTTGGACAAGCGCATGACGGGGGAATAGTCTGAGGGAGTGGCAGAGGCAGAGGAGGGTCAGGGACGAGCAGTGGGTGTTTCAACTGCAGGGCAAATGACATTGGACTAATGACTGTCCAAAACAAGTCAAGTGTGACTGACTGACCCCTGAGCCAGGTATGAGTCAGGATCCAGGACAGAAACTCACACATACACACCACTGCAGCAGATATGTCTATTGAAAAAAGCTATGGTTAATTTAAAACAACGTAGAGAGCAGTCAGGACAGGCTCATTGTCAAATGCTGTCACACAGTGCTGTAAAAGATCAGTCAGTCATAGGGCAGTCAACTGTATTTCTTGTCAGAGTGACAGAAGCGGTTATTATGGAGAAAGAGCTGATTCCAAACCTCAAACTGAGCCTGAGACACGTGAGCAGAAACAGGAACGTGAGGGATACAGAGTTATTTGTTTCTACTAAATGTCGCAGACTGACTCTTTCACCTTGGAGCCATGTCTGGAAAACCGCTCACAAAGCATCCAAATCAGCGAAGAACAAAATAATCAATTATTATATTGTGCACAGGACATATTTTCCCCCTGTTTGTACAGGATGGGTTTATCAGATTCAGATCTTTGTTGGTTTTGCAAACAGGAGAAAGGTTATTTTAACCACATTGTATGGGCCTGCACCAAAGTTAAAATGTTGTGGGAAATTGTTACACAATCCCTGGGTATGATTATTGGCTATAAACTTCTCATTGTGTTCCTGCATTGTGCCTTTTGAATTGCAGTGCTGAAGGAACTTGGTCCAAACTCAACAAACACGTTTTTAATAGCTGGATGCATGACAACTAAATGATGGATTAGAACTAACTGGAAGGATACAAATCAGTTGCGGCTTCAAACATTTCTGGTTTTCTATGGAGAGCTGCATCCAGCCTTTCTGAACGTACGCTGAGGAACAACAGCTATGGTGCGTAGATAATTATTGTGTTATGTGGGTGAAATATGAAGTTAAACAAAACACTTTGCTTCTGCCCTCGTGTTGTCCAGAAACATTTGTTTGGCAGTGACATACTGGCTGTCACTTCAGTCGCCAGTGGAGCAGGGATAGAGATGATGTGAGGCAGATTGATTATTGTATTTATATGAGTGGCAGCTCACAGACACATGGCCGATACCTATAAATAGAGATGCGCTGCAGCAAGAACAGAGGAAGCCACACGGTCCGTGGTTCACTAAGACCAGATTAACAGTATGACGCACAGTGGTATAGACCCGAGTGAGGTTGATGAGAGGTGGGAGAGGACGCAGAAAACTAATACTGTACAGAAATTAAAAAAATGTTTTAAATTGCCTACGTTATTCACTTATGATTCCAATTATTTAACTCCCCTTTACCTTTTTTAATATCCTTTTCTCTCTTGTCATTATTTAATTACATTATATTATTATTGTTGTTGTTATTGGGCATTAAGCTGAGTAATACCCTCCTTTTCCCTCTCTTTCTCCTTTGGAGAAGTAACTGTAAGGGATTAATATGATGGGGAAAGGGCAATTGGCATTCCAGGGAGGATAAGAGGTGCACAGCAGATGTACAATTACCACACACAGGTTGCAGAAATACAGGCTCAGGTCTTCATGTTTGATCCATGTCTGATGTGAGGGTTTGGGTCCTTGCTATGTCAAAGAAACCACTGGTGGTAGGAAACACCAGCGTTTTTCACAATAAGTGATAAGAGATCATTCAGAAGACGTCAAACTTCATGAACACAGGAGAGTGCAGGTGGTGCCAAACACCTCTCTGTTGACTCAAGTTCCTTTCATTCTTTGGGCCCACAGTTATTCCTGCAAGTTACACATTGGGTAGCTGGGCTGTTTTCCAAAGAACTCTCTGAGGAGTGACAGGTCATTTAGGACACGGCAGCCAGAGCTGCACCTCACGTCCACAGAGTTCAAGTTTCATGACAGTAAGGTTGATCATCTACTTTTAGGTTGCGTGCGAATCTGATTGGTTGTGTCTAAATGTCGACTCGTGTGGAGTGTGCATGTGCATCCATGTTAGTACATCCAAACAAATGCAGGTTGATTGGACCCTACGAATAAATATAAGTGTTTGTTTGTTAACCCTGTGGTACACCTGTCCAGGGTGTACCCTGCCTTTCACCTAATGTTAGCTCAGATTGACTCCCCCCACCCTCAAGGTTTAAGCAGTATAGATAATGGATGGATACCCAATAGATTATTTGGATGAATCCATTAAATGATCTGTTACTAACAATTTATGAATTATCAAACATAGGTCTATGTTGCCATAATCTCATGGGAGAATAGATATTGAAATATGTCGCACCCAGATTTTTATATTTGGTCCAAGCAAACCACGGTTCACTGAGGTCAAGTTTAGCTAATGTCACACTGTCCAGTTTGCTGGGATGTGGACAAAGTGATGAAAAAGGCTCTCTGAATCTTTCAATGATAAATGCGCTTTCATACAGCTAGCGCTCTTGTGCGTTACCAACAGCTGCTGGAAGCCGAGCTGCTCCCCACAGCAACTTATTTGTACATGTAAGTTCACAATCACAACACAGATGTTGTTTTAGAAGGAAACGCCAACGTGGAGGCAGCTGTAAATGCTGCAGCTTAATAGCCCCTAACCATTCAGCTTGTTTCACTTCCTGGCACACAAAACACCCACAGCTGATCTGCAAGAGCTGCAGAGTAGAACGACAGAAGAGGAGAAGAACTGGATGAAAGAGCAGGTACATTTCAAACATTTGGACCTAACAACAAACCCTGTCTGCATATGTTTCCTCTCTGTGCTTCAATGACACACATGACAAAGGGAGGGATGTTAGTAGAAGAAAACAGATAATGGTTCATCAAAAGTTTTCATGTTTCTCATTTTTAATCTACATACCATAAAAAAATACCACTCAGCAGTGACAATGGTACACACTTTGTAAGCACTGCTCTTAAAGCAGCAGGTGAGTAGGAATTGACTGTGCTTTGAGATCTCAGCAGACAGGCTCAAGACACACGGCCAGAGCACCTGTACTCTGCATGCTCACCACACAGCCTTTACAAAATAGAGCCCGACCGATATGGATTCTATTAAGATTTCTCATATTAATATATTGATGTTGTTATTAAACCCTTTAACCCTAAAGTTTATCAAAAATATTTTGAAATAAAAGGAAAACCTTAAATTCTTCCAAATATATATAACTCGAATTAAGATAATAAACATGTTTACATAAAATGTAGATAAAACATAAATATGTATGAACACCTTTTCCACATTGTTTAATCTGAATTACTTATTCTGTAAAATAAAGGTTTTTCATGTCCGCAGACATAAACACTGCTAGATATGTCTATGAAAGGCTCCTATTGGCCAATATTATCAGTCAACCAATATATCGGTCAGGATCTATTTAAGACCATGAAAAACCAGGACAACAACATATGAACTGAGATGTTAAAGCACTTCAAACTGAGCACAGACAGAGAAAGTAATAAAACAAAAGGCATTCAAAAGTTAAAAAATATCAAGTGAGCAACCCGGCAACCTAATATCTGCAAACAGACTGTTACATTGCTCTCTTATGTTACTGTGTGGTCATCTCTTTGTTATTATTCCTGTGTCTGATAGAGCACACCACTCCGCTCCTTGGTCTAAGTGTGCCAGTGTCCACCATGTCAAAGGTCTCTCCAGGGACAAGGGTGAAATCAAACCTCTGGAGCAGCTTGGCCATCACCACTTTAGCCTCCATCTGAAAACACATTCAGGGTGTTTACATGGCTGTTCAGACATGGTATCAACATGCATGTAGGGTGACACCGTCATAAGTTCAAAGCTCAAAGTTTTGCTAGAAAGTGTCTCCTAATGTGTCTCCAGTGACTCAGCTGTGTGCTTTTTGCCGTTGTTTTGTCTGTGTTTCCTGTTTTAGTGCGTGGCTGGCTGGGGTGTGTCTTCCTGGTTTCTGTTCTCTCGCTATTTCATCTGCACGCCTGAGCTTAATTCCACAATCAACTTATTGGTCTCAGTGTGTGAAGGTCCATCTTACAAGAATCCACTAAATCATCATACATCGTCTGTGGTAGAAATTCTACAGCTGTCTCCTCTATCCTGCACTTCCACCTTTGGTTACTCTGCCTGTTCTCAGTCTCTGGTTGCCTCACCCTGCAGTGCCCACAGTAAAATATCTGCTCTGCTCGTCCTGCCCCAGTCTGTTGGCCACTTGCATGTCAAAAATCATCAGTAAATAAAAACGTACATCATTGCAAATAATGTGTTTGTGTTTTTCTATTCGTGTGTGAGAGAGAGAGAGACAGTGGGTCAAGGGGAAGTTGAGCAAATCAGTACAATGTGCTCAGCTATGTAATGAAATAAGTAATTACTCATTTGAAAAAGTAAAACATTTAAAATCAATTTTAGTAAAAAACTATTTAAATAAGAAAAAAAGGGAGTTGTCGGTTCTGACTGTAGCACATCAGAGGATATCAGCTGAGTGGGTGGTCCTTCAGTGTGGCCCAGGACATTTGGGTTCACACAGTGAAAACAGACCACCTCCGAATGTGGACTGATGAGTGACGGTATCACAGATGTGTCCTCCATGCATCTCTGGTGCATTCACACCGGAACTTAGAGCCACTTGTAAATCAGTTCACCCAAGAGACATGTCGATACCAAGTATGTGTCACATGTATATTTTGTCACCACCCACCTGAGCAAAGTTCTGGCCAAGGCATGAGCGTGGACCGAGGGCAAAAGGGTAGTAGCAGTAATAAGGCCTTGTAAAACAGATAAGACAAAACCTCATTAAATGTACTTCTGACTTTTTCGTGGAGCAGCGCTCTGACACAGCAAGAATAAAATAAAACATGCCTTTGTATGCAACTCACTTGGGGGCATTTGGGTGAAATCTGTCTGGATCAAATTTCAGTGGGTCCTTGAAGAATCTGTCCATTCTCCCAGTCACATAGGTGCTGAGCTACATTTCAGAGCAATTCATTGAACATGAAACAGAAACACACTATAAGACATTTTTAGGGTTATCAATATACTTATTTTGCAGTCAAATTTAGGCAAAAACATTTAGTCATATGTATCATTTAGTCAACAAAGGAACTATTTTTTATTATTCATCATTTCATACGGTTTTGCAAACAAGAAAATGCTAAATGATCTCTCTTGTCTAAAATATGACTATCAGATATATTTTTCTGTTTCCGTTTGGGAAATTTGTTACGTTTAAACACAAGAACTGGAGCCAAGCACTAAACTGGGACAAAGAGGTGGAAGTATAAAAACATTCAAACGCGAATGACTCACCATACAGTTGACTCCTCCAGGAATGTGGATGCCGTCGATGACCATGTCTTCAAGTATATCACGAGATGTGCCCGGAGCCGTCGGATAGATCCTCAGAGTCTCCTTCAGCACCTGAGGTGAGGTCACCGTGTGGGTCAGTTCAGGAAATGATACCGGTTTGTCATGATCTCTAGATGATTTCCTGGCATATACCTGTGAGAGGTAGGTCAGGTTCCCCAGGTTGTCATAGCTTATCTCCTGTCTCACCCCAATGACATCATCCACCTCCTTCTTCACTCTGAGAAATGAAACACAATTCAAATAACCATCATTCAGAAGTTCCATTATTTACAATGAGTAATGCCGTTCTTACTTCTCCAGTATATCCGGATGTCTTGCCAGTTCCATGACGCAAAAAGCGAGTTGATTAGCTGTTGTTTCTTGGCCTGAAAATGTACAGAGTAAACTCACACACACACAGTGCTGGACTATAAATATACTTTCAGAATTCATACTGAAACAGATGGATAGACACATTTTACTGACATTTTGGGTTTAATGTCCCTTTCACGTGGTCAGTCTTAGTTTGTGCTACAGAAAAAGGAAATTCTTAAAAACAACAGAGACTCACCTGCGATGAAGAACGTCACAAAATTGTCCAACATAGACTCCTCATCTTCTTTAGTCATGCTCCCCTCTGGAATCATCAGGAAATGGAATCAACAAGTCAAGTAATATTGACTTATCTCTATATTACTTATAATCACAGGTGTCCATCTAGGATTAATGTGCATTTTTCTGTACTAACATCTACGTATCTGTTTCTAATCTATCCATTTATGTTGCTATTGATGTGGAGAAGTGAGGGTGTTTATATTGAAATGAAAATGTTCGATGTTCTTATCTCGATCCTATTGTTTGCAGCTGCCATGACCCTGTTATAACACAGGGGCATTTAAACATAATTCTTATCCAGTATGAGTGAAGGTGAACTTTAGGGACTGTAACCTTTGCCAGCAGCTTTGATGATCTGCGTGAGGATGTCCTTGGGGACGTCATCGCCCTTTTGCATGGCGTTCTTTCTTTCATTGATCCACTGAGCTCCGGTTGCACGCAGGAGGTGGCACGCCTCCCTCACTTCTTTAATGAATGATCTGTTCTTTGGATTTAACTGGAAATGAAGGACGTTTAACAGTTTATGAGCTTTTAATCATATTAACTCCAAACAAACTGGTAGTGAAGACATACCTCAAAAAAGGCGTCTCGGATAAAGTGCACCATCCCTTTTAGACATGTCTCGATGGCTTTAGGGAAGGGTGACGTATTCTGCAGCAGGTCTAAATCCACACCAAAAGCAATCTGAGAGTCAACAGGGAAACAAACATATATATTGACATAGTAGCAACGGTTGGACGAGTCTTTGCATGAGAAAAATAAAACTCAGGTTAGAGCAGCTGCAGAAGAAGCTGTAAAACAGATAAACACAATACCTTAGCAATAACGTCAAGAGTAACACAGTTGAAGAGGGCAAGCATGTTGGCCTCAGTGTTACTGTCCGCAGCATCCGTTAAGCTATTCATCAGTATCTCTGCCCTCTCGTTGAAAGCGCCCATCAGACCTCGCAGATACCTGCAAGGAGTCGCAGTAATAGACAGCAGAATAGCAAAGCGAGGACTTAAAAAGAGTTGCCCACTTTCCGAAGAGGCTCTGCAATGACGGTAAACGCTCAAGGTTACAGCTTCACCATTCTGTCCCTCGGTGAAGAATAAATCATAATAAACTCACAAGCTGCTGAACGCAGGGTCCATGATGCGGCGCTGTTTATACCACTGCTCATGGTCCCGTGCTGTTAAGAGGCCGTCGCCAAAGAACCTTGAAGAGAGGGATTGAACACAATTCTTTCAAAATAGTAAAATAAGGTTGTACATGATTTCACATAACAAAACAGTGATCCAGCAACATCACACAAACATTGACAGATTACTTGACTGGACATTACAGTCAGTGCTGGGCTGATGTGGAATGTTTGGGGCTGATGCCAATACTGATATTAGGTTGTAAAAACATTTCTGATACATACAGCTGATGTTTATTTAAAAAATGGTAGTGTTTCTTAAGATGCCGTTATTGAACGAAAAATATAGAACTCAAATTAAGATATTTTAACTTACATGCAAATCTTCTCTGCATTGTTTTTCTCTGAAATAATATACTCAGCACTTATATTGGCCAACTTTGCATTGGTGGGCCTCTAATTAAAATGTAAGACGCTCAGTTGTGTCAGAACTGAAATGTTGCTTGGCCAGTTTGACAACATGGTTTCTGTGTATACATGAGCACCACTTATTTACTACCTTTGACCAAACAGGTAGAAGAGTTTCTTGTAGACAAACTTGTCTTTGGGGTACTTGGGGGACATCAGGATTTCCTGAAAAACAAAAGAGGGGGCCACAGAAAGACGGTGAATTGTGCTGATTCATGCTTATGCAACAGAGGTCAGTGAAAGGTGCAGTGTTTACCTTGGTAGCCTCTGGACAGTAGACACACAGTGTAACGTAATGAAGGATATTTATCCTATAAACAGGCCCGTACCTCTCTGCCCTGTGGAAGACAACTTACGGATGAGTTGGACTTGATCATCTCAAATGTAAATTTACATCCAGATGAGCTGAAGACGTAGTTACAAGTGGGAGAATACACGTGTGAGGGTAGTAACACACACACTGAAAAGAAATCGCTCACCACTCCAGGAACTTGTCGTGAATTATCCCGTCATTGTTCATGATCCTCAGAATCGTCGGTGAATGCCCGAAGAAAAAACTGCGAGGGTGAAAACAAAGTGTCACTAATGTTAGCTGAAGCTCGACATCTACACGAACAGTGACCGAGCCACTCGACTTACTTGTCTCTGGGGGGCCCGGGTATGTGATCGTACTTCATGTGAGAGTATTTGACCAACACGCAGAAAGAGAGAAACGCGATGAGAAGCAGAACGAGCAGAAACACCAGGGCCGGAGCCAACCAGCCCAACAGGACGGAGGAGAAGGCCATCTTACTGCCCAGGCAGACCGGAGGTGAGGCGGGGATCAGTCAGGTGTAGATCTCGGTCTGTCGGTCGTGGGTGTGCCAAACATGAAGTATGTACGTGTTATCTGTTCATATAAAAATTTCAGCTGTTTCCCATGCAACTCAACGGGCTCCATAGCTCAGTGGTTAGAGCACTGGTCTTGTAAACCAGGGGTCGCGAGTTCGATCCTCGCTGGGGCCTCGTGTGGTGAATTCCTTTTTTCTTTTTCATGTGTTTGTTTTTCTTGTTTCCACTATGATAATAACTCTGTTTGAATATCTCTTTCCAAAACCACAGCTGCACACCGCTCTAAGACAACAACATTTTACCACTCACAAATTAGAACCGTATGAAATAATATGAAACCGTGAAATTGAAAAAAGAGTTAAAGATTGCTCATCTGATAGAAGTGAAGATGTTGAGTTTGGCGCCCTGAGGTCTGAGGCCCGGTCACCTCCACTCCAGATTCTTACTCCTGAATTCTAATCATCAGGAGGTTCTCCTACAAACAAGTTTGAACTTTTTTACTGAGACATCGTGAGAATGGGGCCATGTCACTCTTATCTAAAGATCTTTACACGTATCTGTTGTATCTAGAGCGTCATTCAATGATGACACAGACAGTTTGGCAAGAACTTTCTCAGCAGTCAGATTCATGTTGGTTGTTGAGCCTGTTTTAATGAGGCTGAACAAGATGTGGATATGTGTCATGCACCCACTGCACCTTCAATCTCTGGTTCACCAGAAACATGACACAGACGTGAGTGACAGTTTCCCCCGGCTTTAAAAGTTTGAACCAAACTGCGCTTCCTCCCACCTCCGAGTTCATCCCTCAAACGATCACTTTCAGCTAGGAGAGGCGAGGGAATACCTCCATGACTGAAAATAGGATCCATATCGCCAAGCGGAGCGTGGAAGTACGTAGCTTGATGTGCTTCACACACATCAGATCCCGCCTGTTTTCACCTCAGCTGCTGAAGCTTAAAAAAAGCCCTCCCTCAGTTTATTCAATTGCACTCATCTCCTGGAGCACAGGATTTCAGAACCTCGCACACACGAGTGAGAGGCTACATGATGCAGATGGACATTGTGAATCAGATGTGTAAAAATATTGGCTGATCATCACACGCACTCTGCGGTGCTAAAAGGGGCTAAAAAGGCTGCGACAAAGTCAGTGTGTGGGCACAAAATCTGCTGCTGTCAGTGATCCCCAGATGAAGCAGACTGTGCAGCTTTATAGCAAAAAGTTCTGTGAAAAAATATTCATCAATATCTGTTTTTTTAATTTTTAGCTAATTTAGCCACTGCTGTCATTTTATCAGATCGACCAAAAAAAGCCCACACACTCACCTGGTAATCATTCTGGAGGCTGACATGAAACTGGAAGCGGTGAACACAACACTAATCTGAGCACCATCGCACAAAAGGATTATTCTTACATGGTTAAACAAAGCTGTTAATAGACACTCGATGGGGACAACGTACGCAAAAGACAAAAACAAGTCTACATTCCAGTCTGTGCACGTAGAGCATCGTTAGAGCATTGAACTAGACACTGAATTTTTAAGGTCAAAATGAAAAACTAAATTCTTATTTTGCAGTTAAATATAAGCAAAAATATTAAGTAATATTTATCATTTAGTCAAACAAAGAAACATTAATTGGCAACTATTATTAATTTCATGAAGTGTAAACAAAAAATTGCTTAATTATCTCTCTCATCCTCTAAAATATGACTATTAGATCTATTTTTCTGTTTCCATTTGGGACATTTGATACGTTTAAACACAAGAACTGGACTCAAGCACTAAACTGGGACGAGAGTGGACAGGCAGGTGATGAATCAGGACAGAAACCAGACTCACACAGGGAGCGGAGCTGAGACACAAAAAATGAGCAGCCTTCATATCATCGAAAGGCCAAAAAACACTGACACACACACACTCACAGACGGGGGGAGAGACACACACAGGGGGATGGGAAATGATGGAGAAGTGCAGATCCCAACAAGTTGTAATGTTTCTTGATTTTGACTGGGAGACAGTCGACTATCAACGATGAAGTTATTCTTCAATAATCAAAATAAATGGCTGAACAATGCATATATCAAATTGGCCTGACGTCCACATTGAGTCCCGTGTGTTTACTCATGAAGACCAGCAGGGGGTGCTCTATGTCAGTACTTTCCTGTCTCAGCGTTTTCTGTGGAGGCTCGCCAGGGGACAAAAAAGACAGATTGTGTTTCTCCCTCACTTTTTTATTCAAGAGCGTGGCCTTAAATTTGTCATTTATTAATTTCACTCTCAGATTGTGCAGTGTTAGGAGAAGGACTCAAAGTGAATCACAGGACATCAGAGCAGTTACATGAGAATGCTGCAGTTATTTGCAGGAGGAGAGTATATTTGCTTGTGGGGCCGGTGTTGATGGATTGGGGGGGGACATGAAATGAAAAATCGATGAAAGTAAATGACCACAACTCTGATTGCTTTGTTTCCCGGTGTCAGAACATGCACGGTCAAATGAGGACTCGTCTGTTTGGGTTTCGATCATTCTTGCAAGACAAGATCTCACAAAAACAAAATCCACTTTCTCCCTGCTTGTTTACTACAATCCAGCCGCCTCTGTCACCATGGCGACCTCATACCTGTGCATATTGTTTGCTGTGACCTCCGAGCTTGTCTGCATTCTTATCTCAAAAAGATTGTGCACTCATAGTTTTGGTCCAGGGTCTCTGCTCTGTGTAAACGCTGGAGGCTAGGGGCCGTTTGATGTTGTTATGGCTGGCCCTGTGCCGCCCGAGTAAGACTGCATCTGCAGGGCCCTCACGTCCAGAAGGTATTGGGTTGGCCGCTCTTTTGATTATATTATCAACAGAGAGGTGGAGGGGGGGAGAGAATTACGACTCCCACTGGACATGTATAACAAAAGTTTGTCGAGTCTGGTTAATCCAAAGAATGTGAGTTATTCAGAACCCCTCTGAGGATATTCATGTCCAGTGTCGGGATGTTCGAGCTGAATATTGTTGGGGCTTGATAAAAAAAAAACTTTTGCTGGTCCTTGGTTTGGGATATTACAAAGCACAGAACACTTTAAAGAGGAAAGAAGATCTAGATGTCTTATTAATAATTATGAAGTTGACAGCCATGATTTTGAGTGAAGTTTAACTGAGACGTTAACGCCCTCCCTAGGATACATTGACGCAACTTTCAGTATCCCTTTTTTTTCTCCTATAGAGTGTCCTCATCAGGTCAAACTTGAGACTTGCCATGTTCTTTGGTTTTTAATAAATTAGTTACAATTCAAAACATTGAAAAGAAAATTCAAATTATGATCTCTTCATTGTTTTGCTTATTTCTCCTTAACGCATCTGAGCTCAATTTAAGATCAATGAGATTTGAACCATTTTCTCATACTTCTTCAATTTAGCTCCCGAGAAATAAACCTGATCCATATTTAAGAACTTTTCTTTAGTCGTCTCAAAAAAATAGATTTCTTGAGATGTAATTAAGAACCAAAAGAAAACTTGATTGGCTTATGTAAACTATCTGAAATTTAATTTTAGTCAAAAGAAAACTCAGAGAAGCCAATGATCTCCCAGTTAGGATGATTTTATTGATTCCTTTTTTGACTTCATGTTCATCGGGGGAAAGTAAAAAAATATAAACTTAAGATATTGCTTCCATGTCTCTTTCTTGGAAATGTACAAACCACTTACCAAGGATACCAGTGGTTGAATTCAATCATCCACAAATAGGCCGCTCATTTATTTCTCATGAGACAAAGAAAACGCAACATTTTCCTTTCGTGTTTTCCGTCATTGGATTTTTGTCATTCTTGCTATTTCATCACCATTGAACCACTTGTGTCACCTGTAGAGGAAGAAATATAAAAATCATATGCACATCACTCCCTGTTAAATGTTATTCTTTCTTCTTAAATTCTCTCTCATGGGTGGAGGCTCCATTTCGAGGTGGCTCCTGTTGCTGGTCTCAGAACAAGGCCTTCCTCTGTGTCAAGGAATGAGGTGAGTCCAGATAATCCATAGGATCCTAAGATCCACTGGCATCCATATAAGTCCTGTTGGTGGAGCAGCTGAAGTGTGTGAATGAGTTTGTGTGCACGGGTTTCTTGGCAATAACACAGTATGTGGTTCATGACTTCTGTGACCCCCCCCCTGCATTTCCGTGGGGCGGGGGGTCATTACCCTCATTAACAGGGGAGCGGTGACTTTAAGGGGTCGTGCTGTTTGCAGGTTGACCAGCCGCAGTGCACCCAGAGGAAATCTCATGTTCCTGCCAGCTTACAAAAGTAAACAGATCTGAAACCACTGAGTGCTGGCATAGGGCCTGGGCCACCGGCACTATAACCAAAGGAATGACTCACACCACACATACACACACACACACACACACACACACACACAACATGCTCTGGTGATGGCAATCCAATCTTTCCACGTTTTGCATGTGAAATATTCCACGCTAAATTGAAACACAATAACGTCGGCGAGCTTGAACGCCTGTTTAACCGCAGCGTACTTCCCCCTCTCCGACACATGCCACCTGTGAAGTGCCTTCACCCTGGTTTACAAGCAACGCACCCTCCTGGTAACTCTGCATTCTATATTTCTGATAACATCTCTTGGGTTTTCAATCCTCTCTTTCATGTCCCCCTTTTCTTCCCTCTTCTGTTTCCCCCTGCCTCAGTCTCCCTCTGCGTTCTCCTCACATCTGCGGTTATTTATCTGTTATTCCGCGGCAGCAATGTGGTCAACATGTGTCTGGCTCGGCTCCACGCGGCACTCATCTGTAGTCAACTTAGGAAATCACCGGAGGACCGTAGTAAACCGTACCAAGCTCCTTATCGTTTACAACACAGTGGATACATAACAGAGGGATGGACTTCTAAATATCTCCTTTACTTTAGTTCATCCTCCATTAATTGCGTCCCACTTTTGACCTAATGTTCTCATGTGAAGGCGTAGCTGTGTTTTTTTTCTTCCTCAGTGACGGCAGAAGTGAAGGATAGAAACCATGGCCCACTGGATTTAGAGTATCCGAGAGGAGTATTTGGATTCCCTAAGCCTATGGATTTAGATTACCCTGACCTTTGACCTTTAAATCTCACTGTTATTTAATCCTCTAGAAAAGCTATAGGTTCGGACAACACGATAGAAATACTGTAGATCAACCCAGAAACCTCAGTGGAGCTGGATGACGGTGAAGGTGGTGGTTAGATAAGGCATGCGGGAGCTTAAAAGGTTAAATGTATGGGACAGAAGGGCTATTTTGTCTGCCGGGTCAAGTGAAATCACATCTACATCATGTTGATGTCCAACCTGCTTTTTCCTGGAATCTTTATAGCCGATGCCAATCCTCTTGCTCTGAACCATACACTGTATATAAAGATGAATGGCGTGACTGCTCCCCCGGTAGCTGGCTGCAGCATAGGTCTTAAACCCTGGCTCGTCCATGTTAGTGGCTGATTAAAAACTAGAAGCACTCATAAATTACATTTCTTAATGATATTTCAGGTCATTCGAGGTATTCTCATCACACTGTTAGTCCTGGGGCTATTTTGTTTGTTTGGTTTTAATTGTGTGAGACATGATTGACAGCTGAGATGGACTCACAGTTGGTCGAGTGTATTTATTGGGTGGGGACCTCGCTGCCACGGCTCTGTCTCCTGATCACTACCGCACAGACTCTGGCTCCAAAATAGCAAGATGGGAGCGTTTGTGTCAGTAATATTTTGGCTTCATTTCTGGATGGTGGAAGACACGTAGTCCATCTTAAATACAAAATTGGTTTCCTCGTTTTGTCTGTGAGTTAAGCTGGAGCCTCATATTTATTTAATCAAATCCATGTTAAGGACATTAATAAAGAGAAACTACTGCTTCAACATAACACTCTTCTCTGGAAGTTTCAAACATTTGTGACAGAGAAAGCTGGTCTGTCCCGCCGGCTGTGGCATGTTTGTACTAACCGAATGCTTGCTGCACTGTACCTGTTGGAGAGGAAAGGTATGGAAAAGCTTGGTAAGTCAATAAATAGCATAACTACTTGGTTGGATAAGGGATTTTTTCTCTACAGTGCTGTGCTTTGCTTGGCTCCCCTTCACAGTATCTGGAGTGTGGAAAAAGAAACGACACACTAAAAACGTCAGATGAATGCAAGGTCTTTATATATATATCGTCAGCATAATTGCAACAACATTTTTATTTATATAGCACTGCAGTACAACGTAAAATGAAACACACACTTGATGTTGCTGCACGAAGCAATATGAGGCATGTGGTTTCCCTTTTGATACGGGTGCCTTCGTTTTTCAGTCGGATTAGTGCACCATGTTGAGTATAGAGTCATTTCAAAGCTTCGACAAAGTTAAAAAACAAAAAGAGAGCAGACAAATAAATACTGTACAACACCATATATGTAATACTAGATTCAGAAATCACAAAAAGATCATGCTCCTCTCAACAGAAACTTGATATATGCACTCTCATAGAACAATGCAGCATCTCTGGTGAGTTACCCTTCACAATAACACTACCATCTAAACAAATGGCAAACATGAGTACATTTTGAGATATCATTTGCATGTGTGTGTGAGCGTGGATTCAAATATATACACGTGCACACACACAATTGGGTGACAAATGAGAAGGAAACCCAATATAAAGTGTCTCGGGCCACCACAAGCCTCCAGAACAGCTTCTATAAGCGTCATGAGCTCAACAGGAGGGTTTACACCATTCTTCTAAAGGTTTCCCTCATTTGGTGTCAAGTGATGAATAATAGAGAATAATGTGTAACACGCCCATCCAACATCTCCCAGGGGTGTTCAGCTGAGCTCTGGTGACTGCGAAGGCCATAGCATATGATTCACATCATGGTCATACTCAATGCTTTTATCCGCCCTCATACTCTTTAACATTTGTTAGGTTGCTCTGTTCATATACTCATTTCTTTCCTTCAATTTGTCACCAATCTGTATATAAAGTGCCTTCCTTCAAAATTGGGGATTCCAAAATGTAAATGCACATCCGGAAGCAGGGTTCCTGACAAAAAAAAAGGTTTGGAGTGAACATCCATGGAATCAGATGGGATAGAAAGGGCCATTCCTGGAGTTAAAGGATATTTCTTAGTAGGTTTAAAATGATTGTCACTGGCTGTTTATTGGGGAAGGTGTAAAATCATAACACAACTACTGCTACAATGCTAAAAAATTCTCAATTTCTACTATGGTTACACATCAGCCTTTTCTTTTCATTGTGCTATACCTAACGATGAAAGATGTTGGTCCATGTTGGGAGTGTCCATTTGAATATGAACGTCCTTTCTATCCAATCAAGTTCTGTGCATTAACCTAAAGGACCCTAAGCCAACATCTTAAACTGCAATGACACCTTTCTGCCGCACTGACAACAATAATTCAGATATAAGGGATCTATTTGCTTTTATAAACTGCACAAAAGTATTATCTCTCACCACTTTCTGGATTACACACCAATAACCCTGACTACTCTTCACCCCAATACACTTTGTACATAGTCTGATAGTGCTCCATTGTAGAGGTAAATGAACAAATGTGTTTATCATGGTCAGATAGTCACCCTGAGAACATTGTAGAGATATATCTATGAGCACAATCTACTCACTGTATGGCTGATTCTTTCTTTCTCCTACATTTGCACTGAAGAGAAATAGGATGTTGGATTTTACACAGGCACCAACAGTCTGATTTTTTAACTCTTTGGCACCCAGATGATATATATTTTCCCAGGCTGTTAAAAATGTGAGGAAATGCACAACTTCAATCTATGTGACAAAACATTTGAAATCAAATGTGCTGTGTTTTACTAAAGGCTCTTCTCACAATTCTCACAAACAAGCTCAATAAAGCAATTGAACACTTAAAATGATTAATTAATCATTTATCTCTCAGGTTCACATCTCAAATTCTTTCATTATTTCATCAAAAATGTACATTAATGTGAATCCATGTGGCAGTTTTGGGTCTTCTTATGTCCGACACCCTTCATTCTTTCCAAACTTGAAGAATCTGTTGGGCTATGCTTGTGTTTGTTGCATTAACACAGCCCACGTTCATGTTTTCATTTACACCTGGTGTTAAAATGTGTTTGGGTGAACGTAATGCAAGTCTGTCCTCAACTCACAAAAACTTGGATGGAAATACATAATCGCATGTGACAGTTCCAGAACAGCGAGGTAGCAGCTAGGCAGCTCCAAGCTATTAGCCATTAAACACATGAATCAGTCCTTCCTCTCCTCAGTCCTTAGCAATGGACTTCATTCAACACACTTGTGAATGGAGTAAATAAGAGATCAGTTCAAGATGGCTTCCCCCCCGCTTCGAAAAGGAAACAAACAATAACGCAGCTTCAGGAATGACTACCATCTTCTTCTCCTCTGTTTTTGCTTATTGTTTTTTGGGAAAATGTGTAGTGGATGTAATGTGAGTTGGATGGAGTCATTAAAGCTCAATCAGATCTCAGGCCACATCCATACTACTATGTTTTTATACGTGTCTGTGTGTCCCACTGGACACAGGGATTGATGCAGATTACTCAAAAAGTAGCTTGTCTCAGATTTTAACTGCACAACAGCTGTTAGCAAAGACAACAGGGTCAGCAACGCTTGTAATTGATTATCCATGTTGCGTGTTTCTTTCTGAACAACTTTGTTTCACTCGTCCAAACTCAAACACAGCTGAGTCGATGCATCTTCAAACAAAAGGGTAGTGGTGTGAATGTAGCATCGGTGACTGGAGTCACACATTAATACCAGGTGTAAATGTCATCACATTCAAATGGTATCTAGATTGAATCTGGTCGTGAGACTCTTACTGCCAGGTGTGAATGGAGTCATACATTTCCTAAGGTAAAACCTCCACGAAGCATGATCAGGATGTTAACCATATGTTGCTATGGTCAATCACAAGCGCTCCAGGACACCGTCAAAAAAGCCAGTAGGTAGACATCATGCTCACACACACCCAGGAGAGTGTAGTGAATAAAAAGAGACAGAGCTTGATGTCATGCCAGATGTGTAAATGGTTGGCAAGCAATGGGAGAACACTGCATTTTTTTCCATTCATGTAATTCAGTTCAGTTCAGTTGAGCCTGTTGTCAGGACACGGTGCCAAATCCTAACTTGAGACAGCCACACTTCACTTCATCGTTTCTAAACCCCACACATCTGCCAATCACAAACGTGCATTTCCTCTGAGTCATCAATGCATGATTAATGGCCGATGCATGGTTTAGATGTAATATTTCGTGACTTTTAAGGTAGACAGCCTCCGTTCAAATTAGGATTGGGCCCTCTGACTCTCTGAGTGAAGTTGTACTTTTGGCTGTGGTCCCTCAGTACTCCCTGGCCTCTTCTAGTTCATTCATGAACACGTCTTCGTGGGGGTTTGCTGGGCAGCTCAGCCCATTGTTGGGCGGACGCACCGCATGGAAGCGACTCCAATCTCCCTTGCACAGGATCCACGGCAGCACGTCCACTTTGAAGTGTAGCTCAGGTGAGAACTCAGTGCTGATCAGGTTAGGCGTGCCTGCGCCTTTACCCCGCGTGATCAACCGCCCACGCTCGTCATAACAACAGTGCTGTGCTGCGAGAGTAGACAAGTCACCAGAAAGTGCTGAGCGGATGCAGCTGCGTGCTGACGGCTTGTAGATGTCCAGGCGCTCCTTAGAGCCACTGGCATCACGCCAGCGGAACTGCCGGCCATGAGTCTCGTCATAGACACTGACAACAGTGTACGCCACTTCAGAGGGGTAGGAGCAGGGACAGCTGGGCAGCTCAGACAGAACCTGGTGGAGGTACCTCTGCAGGAACTCACTCTTACAGTTGAGCCACTTCTCACAGCTGTCCACATCTGTTGGAAAGAGAACGACAATACCACATAATGTCACGGTTGTTCATGGTAGAACTACTGGAAGCATAAACATCTATAGCTGCTTTCAGACACGCACTGAACTCCATCCCCTGAAATTTAATTGGAGGGGCTGCATGTGAGAGCGCAAATTACAGAGTGAGAGGCTCCAGACATTTTACAGAGGATTCATCGCATAGAAGACACAGACCAATATGTCAACTTGGAATGACAACAAGATTTGTGAGCTTATGGTGATGAGGGCCTGTGTCAAAATGGGATTTTGGCAGCGTTACGTCCTGCCTCTACCTGCAGTGCCCCCCCCCCCTCCTGAATGCTCCAGAGATATTTGTGTTGTTAACGTGTCTGAGTGGAGACTCTCCTCCTGCGTTTCTTCAAATGTGAAAGGCAAACTCTGCAGAAAGTCTGGACACAATTGTGCAGACACTCTCTGGAGTTTATCTCTATCAATGGCATGTTGGGTTAGCAGGTTCTATCAGATAATATAGATGACAGAGGATGGTTTGTAAAGTTGTGCAAAAGAGTAAAGAGTGTAAAATATGACCCTGTAAACAAATGAAAGATGTTATGGGGGATTCTTCATTAGATGAACTCACCTGTTCCAAATGGCTCCGTGCCATTCTCCATCTCGAAAGGAAAAGGTTCTACCACAGTGTTGACATCACCTACAGAAGAAGGGGGATATGTAAGATGTAGATTAAAAACCAGCCAGAAAATAGAAATTATAAAACCAAATTGGTTTGGTATTTGTATTTCTCCAAGATGGAAGTATAATCTCACCGGGGCAGGGCTCCAGGTCACACCTAGAGGCTTCTGTCAGAGTGCAGGAGTAACCACAAGACTTCGTCCTTTTCCTCTCACCGTATCCACACGTCACCGAACAGGGAGACCAGGAGGTCCACTCATCCGTCTCCTTCTCTGTGGGAGAGAAAATTCAGTGACTGACACTTTCACGCTCCATTTGACATGGAGAGATTTCAATTAAAGCATTTCATTATTGTAAAAAGGTGACTTCATTTCACAAGCTCATAGGAAGCAGCTTGAAGGTGTCGTGTGAGATTATAAACACACACAAAAAGAAAAGCACCTTACAGTTTTGTACTGAAGTGAACTCTGCGTGTCTAATCCACAATGTGTTTTCTTGGTTTCAGACTCCATCAATTTAAATGGTAGTTTTCTGCTGCTCTAACCTTTCCCATGCAAACCCATATTCTTTTTAAAACGGCTTCAGTAAAATTAGAGAGAGAGAAGCTGTGCTGTGGCTGTCTGCCTCCGCACCATGTTTCCTTGTGGTGTTAATAATACTGAAAACAAGTCATTCTTGATTAAAGGCGAGGTGGGTGCAGAAATACCAGCCTGGGTGTAGCGAGCACCCAATTTTACTCTGTGGGCGCTGCCAGCTCGCCATGTGGCCATACGAGAATAAGGTCTCAGGAGATTCTTAATTACAGAAGAAGCGAAGGCAGACATCCTTGATTTATGTTCTCAGAGTCTTTAGATGTGACCACTTAATAGGCATTGTTGCCCATTGCTGGCTCGTCTGCGTGTGCAACATTTAAACAGAGAGAGTCTTTATATTGGCAGATGGAAAAGGGAAAGGATATAGAGGAAAAATATGCAGGTTTTCAGACACTTGCTACAGAGTTTTGAGGTTAAGTTACAAAGTTTGTACAACCACAACAACCTTAAAAAGGCAGTCAACCATGCACACATTTGTATTTATGGGAAATGTCTTTGACTCTGGTAGATCGTGCACTAATTTACAGTCGGACTCACACACATTGGCCTACCCACTGTCCAGCTCATCAAACTTTACTCTTTTTCCATCTCTCTTCTTTCAGCATGTACCTACTGTACTCTCTCTCTCTCTCTCTAACTCTCATTATTTACTATTTTTACCAGTGAATTGGTGGCAAAACTTTTTTCCCATCAGAAGAAGGCAGAATTAAGAGGGGGAAAGAGCAGTAAAAGTTATGTAGGGCCCTGAAAGCCCCCCGAAATTCTTGAACAGGCTCAAAAGGCAGAGCCGCCGAGGGCAGTGAGGGCCGCCAGGGTCTGGGGGGGGGGCCCATGGGGTCCCGGGGAAGGATGAAAGAGCCGGCCGAACGGCTCCTGTCATTCTGAGTTCCCAATCTGCCCTCTAATTGTCCACAAGCAGAGGGCTGTTTTGTCCCAGGGAACATTGCCGGCCTCACGCTGCCATTAGCAAGCGCATCTGACCCATCTTCAAAAGGCAGGCCTCCGCGACCAGCACGACCAGTGTCGACTTCAAAGTGCCCATAACCCACAATGTCCTGATGGTCGAGTGCTCTTGCTGCCTCGCATGCTGGCATCATTTAGTTCTCTCTGACTGTGAAGACAGTTATCATGCAGCTTCCCTGAGCCGCCCTGTTGTTCTCTCTCTCCCTCTCCACTATCCTCTCTCACTTTCTGTCTCTCCTCCCAGACATTCACATCATCTCTTCTATGATACAAAAAAAATTAATAATTGAATCACATTTTTTTTCCTTTGGTTCAACCTGCAGGATTGTGATTTCTGTTTTGGCATCATATGGTGCCTTCACGAGTTGTGTGAGTGAGTGTACCACTTGGCATAACTAACCATAGTAACTCTGCATTGGATCCCAGCCTTCGTTCCAACGAGTGTCCCAGTCTCCACCCACTCCGCTGGGTAAGGGTTCCTCGCTGCCATAATCCAGCGAATAGTCTTCCTCCTCCTCTTCCTCACCAGTTTCCTCCATCCCCGATCGGCTGTTGCTGTCCTCGCCAGAATCGGCGTCGGTGTAACTCCAGAAAAGAGGCCAGAAAAGCTTCTTGCCGCCAAGCCAATCTACTGTGGAAGAGGGGGAGGAGGAAGACGAGGGCAGCCAGTCTTTGTCGTTGGCCAGGTCCATCTCTACCTCCATCTGAGGGTCGTCCACAACCTCAATGGTCACCTGTGTAGGAATAAAGAGAAGAGGGAATCAGTTTAAATTGTGTCCCTCTGTCATTAAAACTTCAGTACCACGAGTACCTTCAGGCAGCTTTAGTGCTTGACTTACAAGCTCTTTAAGAAATCAACCATCTCAAATCTGCGGAGGAGTATTTTAGCAGGCGAACACTCTCTCCCCTGATCTAAGTCAGCCAGGCAGACGTAATCATGAGCATTCAGCCAACTAAACAGTCGTCGCAGGGAGAGAATTTGAGCATTTATTCTGGATAACTACCTCTCATTACCTCAACATGACTCATCCTAGATGCTGCAGTGCTTCCAACGGCCTGCTTCGACTGATGTGAAGACCAGGGAACAGGAGGACTACAGGGGAAATCTTTTCATAACTCTTTTGATCTCAGTGTCACAGTTAGGAAGGAAATATGAAAATATGATTTGGTTTAAATTGTCTCCGTTGAGTATATTGTTAGTGTCAAGAAGAGCACATCTGGTCAATATGCTGCATTAAAGGACATTTCATCTGTCTCTGTACTTGATGTAGACGTAGGCCTGCATCATTAAGTCCCTCGAACAACATCCTGATTATGTTGACCAGAGAGCAAAAGAGGATAACTGCCATGAGGTAAGTTAAACAGAAAAACTTTTTGAACTTGTCAATTTAAGAGCAGATGATGAGGATTTATAAGCACAGATCGCTCTTGCTTATATTTTTATGTTAGTAATAAAAAACAGTCTTTTGAGATTGCTAATTTATTTCACATTAAGGAAAATATCATTTTAGATGATACAAGACAAAACTACCCGATCCTCCTAGAATAAAGGGTTTAAATTGAACCCATAATTCAACAATTATTGATTATTGTACGAGTGAAGCACACAGACTATACTTGGATTGGCTTTGTTATATTGTACAGAAATATACAGTATTCCTGACCCTGTAGATATCTTGAAGGATGTCTTAACTGCTGCATGTGCCCAGACACAGAAATGTGTGACACCTGTCACTCTCCACTCACCTGTATGTTGGGGTTCTGTGAGTTGATGTCGGCGTTGGCCAGGTCTGGAAAGTTCTGGAGATCCAGGATGAAGGGTTTGGTCTCCTCCTCAGGCTCTGGCTGTGGGAGAACCCCAACAGAGCGGTGCTGCGGGTGCGACCACCTCCTCTGGTGGCTGTGTGGTTCGGGCAGCAGACTCTGCACCTGGTTCTGTTGCTCCAAAGTCTCAGGGACATACTGGACCCCACCGTTGTGAACAGGGTGGCCGTGACCCTGATAGAAAGCACAAATCAGGACATAGGATGGGTTATTGGGGGTTTAACTTTATTAGAAACTATAATCTGGAAGGATTTTAAAAGATTGAATTAAAGTTTTCATCTAGGCTGATGATGTGCAGAGATCACCTTCAAATATCCAAAGAACATGGGCAACTGAGACAGCATAAGGTAGTCACTGATACACATGCAAAGGCCAGGTGCTATTTTAATGCTATTGAGAAAAAAAATCTGTCATTTATTCTTGCTCACTGAGGTGTGTACAACAATTAATGCTCTGTTTCCAAGAAGAATCCTTGAAACCATCTACCATCTCACGGCTTGGTCAGCAATTCCAAAAACCCCTGAGGCATCCAACTAAACAGCCAAGTGACCAACCAGCCTTCGTTCATTTCATTCTCTTCTTTTTTTCCCACAACAGTCATGGCATCCAGGCAGCGGACAAAGAGGGGCCTGTGCCAGAGGGATCCTCTTTTAGCTTTAATGAGAGGGCCTGGGAGGCGTGGGACCCCTGGGCTGGTGCAAGTGTATCTGAACCTGCTGTGCTGCCGCCACTATGGCCACCGCTTCATGTGACCTTCCAGGTTGTGACTGAGATGGAGGACCAGCAGAGAAATGTTGAGATTAATGGTAACATTATAATGGAGGGGAGCTGGACTGTAGCTGGAATATAGTCACTAAAAGTGGATTTTTGCTTGGTCTGATCCTCCAGGGTGCACGTCTCTGTTTCAGCTCTAATAGGACATATATCTATTCCATTCCTGGTTCTGGTCAAAACCAAAAACCAAACCATACCAAACTCTAATGAACCCTGCGGTCTGCTATTCACTCATTAATATCCCGAACACACTTAAGTGGCATGAACTTATGATTGGACAGGACCTTGAGTTTGGACCTGAGCCAGTTTGTGGTCTACTCGGAGCAAACCAGCGGCGGTTAGAGGGGCTAAAGAGGAGAAGAAATGTCTGAATTAATGACCGGTCGGTTGATGATTTATAGTTATGGCCTTGGAACAGGGAGTACTTTTCACTGACTGCTTGTGATTGTCCCATAAAGAAGCTATGTGGTCGGACAAATCCAAGCATGTGGACACAGAATGCCTGTTTAGAGGAGAAGCCTGTCAAGCATGATAAATGATGGATGAAGAGTTGGCCCCCTCCCCAGATATCTGTAAACTGGTGGAGACAAGTAGATAACCTTTTTGGGATGGTTAGCCTTTCTCGCTGTAATTTCATCCACTGTCTGAAGCAATTGGTCATATTGCAATAAATCAAAATTGCCCATTTACAACAGACATTTTAAACACATTCCAATACTAAATGCTAAATATTGCAAGAATGCTCATGTACATCTTAAAATATTTTAAGACAATATGCAAAGTGTAGAGCTGAAACAGTAATCCATTAGCTGTTAACTATTATTATAATTTAATCGTTCAAATGAATTTTCAAGCAAAAACGACAAAAACATTCCAGTTAAAGCCTCAAAATTATTCAAATTTGCTGCTCTTCATTGTTTTCTATGATTTTAAACTGAAACAAACAATTCATTTAACGATATCACCTTGGAAACTCTTAAAAAAAGAGTCTAAAGCAAACTAATTAAACAAATTATCTTCTATGTCATTATAACAAATAATAAAGATCCAGCTTCTCTCATATTTCACCTGATTTCTTTGTGTCTGATCAGACAGCTAGCATGATTACTGTGTTCCTGGCCTGTTATTAGCTTCAGTGCACTGAGCAGTGTCCGTGTACACCTCTCTCACATCCTCTAACACCCAAGGACTTAGACAAGTTCACGAGAAAGACTCAGAGTCATGAGAGGCCACATACTTTCACACCCTCCTCATCTCGTCCTGTTACACATCTGGATCCTGTATTCTTTCGCCCTGTATATCACTCTCTCCTCCTTCCTCCCTCCCCCTCGTTCTCTCTGATCCTGCTCTCTTCCTCTCGGTAGTGGMGCTGTTCTKATCAAAGGCCCGATGGCTGATGGCGTGCGGCGTCTTTAACTGGGGAACTGTATGGATGCAGCAGGGGACCTCAGACTGGCGTGGAGACTGGCATCTCTCCACAGAGAGACATCAATGACAGATCCACCCCTTTGGCAAAGCGCTGTTGTCCTCTTTTCAAGTGACTGAGAAGAATGGATCCATTTTGAGCTACTGTTGTCGCTGCTGCTGATGGTGACACACATTCAGGTTAGGGAGAGGAGGACGGGATGGGGCTGAGGTGAGGGGCGTGAGTGGGATCTGGTGGATTCTGGGGAGGCAGACGGTGTGGCAGCCCTGATTTATGTGCCCGCAGATATCAAAGGCCTCTGCACTTGGCTGTTTCCAAACCATTACAGAAGAACAATAAACTATGGGCGCTCTTTGATCGCCGCCTCTTGCAAATGGAAACGGGACAACAAATGCATGCCTGGTTGAATCAGGGTGAGGTTGTGGAGGTTAAGCTGGGAGGTTGGGGGTGGGGGGGGGGTGGTTTGGGTGATCAGGACTAACGATATTTGGGAAAGAGGCCACTTCAAAACAAACTCTTGCTTCTCCTTTGCCAAGAGATGGGGGGTAAAACCAAAAAACAGGAAATTCCACATTAACACAATAAAGAACCAATGTAAACAATCAGATGGATGACACTTGACCCCCCAGCCCCAGTGCGAGGGATGCCGAGGGTTCGACTTATTCTGGTTACATAAGCAACTCGTTACCGGGCACCCGCTTTACTGAGCCTCCCCTCCTCCTTCTCCTTTCCTCTAATCTCCCCTCTCCATCCACCACTTACAGACACGCATCCAGCAGGTCACAGGCGGAGGTACGGAGTCACCAACTGCAGCCCTTTTTGGTGAATGAATAGAACAATCTCAACAAGCCGCAGAGAGATTTTTTTTTTCCTCAGTAATCATTCCCCTCCCTTCTTCCCTCCATCCCTCCCTCCCTCCCTCGCCCTCCCCTTTCCCTCTCTCTGTGTCTTTCCCTTTGCTTTGACATCAATCAGTCAGATGATGAGAGAGAGAATGTCCCAATAGGGCATCCATGGGAGGCCACACAAGAAGGAGCCGGTTTCAAAGGCAAAAACTCAACCCTGACACAAACACACACAAACAGACTTTGATATCCAAATACGTCCGTGTGTAACACAAACATTCCCGTAGACACACACAGGCACAACACAGTACCCAGTGTGTGTGTGTGTGTGTAGAGAGAGAGAGAGAGAGAGAGAGAGAGAGAGAGTTTAGATTTATTATAGCAGGATGTATGCAGAGGGATGGGAAGGTTTACTATACATGGAGAGAAGAATGGAACAAAATAGAGCAACACCACTTATCTACTCGCTGCATCGATTCAATTACTTGATGTATGTTTTAATAAGAATTAAATAAACAGTGATAAGGTTAAAGGTGCAGTGGGTTTTGTCTTTAATAATAGTTATAAGATATTTTGACATTTTTATGTGCAGTAAAAGCAGGAACCTTTCTAAACTTTAAGTGAAAATGATGTTTCAGTGATATTGTCCCTGTTATTTTTCTTAAGTAGACAATGAAAGTAAATGACACAGTTACTGGCCTAGCTTATAAGGCTAAATATAATGTAGTGTGTTTTATACTTAATACAAGTTATGCTACAATAATACGACATTTGTAGGAACTTTTTAAAAGTTTGTGTGTGTTGTTTGCATGATTTTGCCACTGTTATTTCAATGAACTTAATGATAGCATGTGTTGTTTATGGCACACAATTACTTACTACCCTAGCTTACATGGTTAAAGTTAAATAAACAGTTTATGGTTAATATAAGTAATGCAGGAACTTTTGAAAACGTACATTAAAGTTTCTCTGTGATGTTTGCATGATATTGCCACTGTTCTTTCAATGAACTTACATTTAAAATGATAGCATGTGTTGTATATGGCACACTATTGCTTATTTATATAACTAAAGTTAAATAAACATAATGATTAAATCAGTTTCATGTGTAATAAAAGCTGCACAGGAACTTTTTAAAACTTCAATGTTAAATCGACAGTTATACCAATAACTAATAATAATGTTAGACTAGTTTTTTAAAGGTTTCTGTGCTAATAAATACAAATGAAACGGTCCAGCCGTTAGAAACTCGTTAGCTCTTGCCAGTGACAGGTGAGCTTGTAAGAGTCGCAGCTGCTTGAAACTTGCTCAACTATGAAGAGAGGTGAAGAAAAAGAAGACGTGAAGTTGAAAGTTGAGGATCAGACGTACCTTGTGGGCGACACTCTTGTGTCTGGTGGGGAAGCCCGAGCTCAAAGTGAGCAGAAGCACCGACCAGAGCAGGAGCAGCAGCTGGAGTCTCCTCGCGACCTCCTGACGCATGTTCTCCTCTTCGTGGACGTTTGAAGAAAAAAAAAAAAAGACAAAAGTTCTCTTGTCTCCACTTCTTCTCTGTGGACGAGTTGTTGTTTTGGAGGAAGCGGCGGTGCGTCCCTCCACCTCCTCGTCAGCAGCTCAGACTCGGGACAGACCTGGCGTCGGGAGGTGTGGGACTTTATGAAGATGCGCACCAGCGTGGAGAGGTGGCCCGCGCGCTGTCCATGTCTGGCACCGGCGCCTCCTGCAGCAACTGTCAGTCCGTGTGTCGGCTCGAGTCCCGCTGCTGCCTCTTCTTCTTCGTCTCCTTCTTCTTCTCTCCCCCATAAACAAACCACGGAGCCTTAAGTACCACAAACGAGTCTGATCACCCCACGCACGATCTCCCCGTCCGCACCGGCGCTCGCTTATTCGACCGCTTTACAAACCGTGAGTCATCCCGTTGTGGGTGGGTGGATGTTTTCTTCCGATGCGTTGACATCTGGAGTTCATCGCACGCTGCGCCTTTTTCTTAGCCGCGATGCGCTAATCCATTATCCTGCTGAGGTTCATCCACCGGTTCCACTGCGTGTGTGTGTGCGTATTTGTGTGTGTGTGTGTGTGTGTGTGTGTGTGTGTGTGTGTGTGTGTGTGGCTCCAGCCAACCGGGTTCGGTAAACTTGGCTTTTACGCACGCATTGTGCTGCAGGAGTTGGGGGCTGGATGCTCACAGCTGTGAGGAGGGGGGGAACTGGACTACTGGGTTTATTGATAATGTTCAAGGTTAGATTTACTCATAACCTGCAATAATCTAAACCAATCTTAATATCATCGTTTTATTTGTGACATTTAAATCATCTCTCAAAACTTTCTTTGACTTAATTGTCTTTAGCTATTATTTTTGTTTCTTTTATCATTTTCCTTTGACAACAATTTTAAATGGTGTTGATTTATTTGATTGGTTGTCCTTGAGTTAAGATTTAGTTTTATATAATTTGCTGCTTTTGATTTTAAATGTGATTGCATTGTTATGCTTGTTGCCTATTTTAAAAAGTGCCATAGAAATAAATGTATTATAATTTGTTTCTACTGTCTCTTAAACCAAGCCTTTCTCTATAAACTTGTTTTGCCCTTTAAGACGGACCAATTCTTAGGCTTCTTTTAAATCCCTTCTTAAAACCTTAAGAACTACATTACAAGATTCCACTACACTTTATGATTCCACTAATCCTATTGATTTAATGGTAAAATTCGAACTATTTTATTGTTCTACTATATGTCTGTTTAATTGTTTTATTCTGATTGAATCTTGTAAAGCACTTCAAAACATTGTTGACACAGGTAACACAATAGTTGAATACTATTATTTGTCTTTACTGTTAAAATAGATTGTTATCTAATCCGTCTACTAAATAAGAATATAAAAAATATATTTTAGAACAGTAATGAATGACTGGCCACTATGGACTGCAGGGTAACAAGATGTCAGTGACTTAAAATAATGAACTGTATTTATATCGCCCTTTTCTCAACAATGTTACAAAGTGCAATGGCAGCTTCTAAGTAGTGTGTACAGTCTGTGTGTTGTAAATAAACACAAACCCATTCCAGGTCTTCATACTAAGAAAGTAATTTAATCTTTGCAGCAGTTTCCAACAGCATGGTCAACAAACATCATGGCTTTGCAAACTCCTCCTAGTGGTTTATCTTCAACCCAAACACAACTACCAAGGGCAAAAGCAACTGATAAGTACGTTTCCAGTGGTGACTGCAGGTCAGTCTGCAGGTAGTTGTGGTAGGTAAGCTGGAAAATTTCTCCCAGGACTTAAATTCCTCAGTTTCAGTCGGGGGAAACCTGGCTGAGAGGAACAGTCACGTTGCTGTTTGTAATTACATTTTTTTTTTTGCCTCCATAGACAGAAAAGAGAGGAATTGAGGATTGAGAGGAAACTTTGACAAGAAGAAAGTCTTCATGTCAGAGCACATTGCTGGAGAGTGCAAATCCACATCATAGTCACGTGTTCCACCTTTTATATTATATTCTACTTATTTAAAGGAAATGTATAATGGAGCTGTTATTCAAGCCATTTTCTATGGAAAAGAAACAGCAATATTGGAATGAATCACACAAAAGGGATGTACAGTAAAAGACCCCAAAACCTCAGTGTGCTCACTGTGCTGAGTTGCTCAAATGCCACAAACATCAACAAAAGCATCTCTGAGCTTGAGTTGAGTTGTTATCACTTTGCTGAACATGTGTAGGAATGGTCACATTCAGCTTTCAAACCAGGAACACTGATGCCCTGAATCACCTCAATAAAGTAACAGAGCATTAACACACATGAGCAGGATGTTTGGGGGGGGGGGGGGGTGACCTCACACAGAGAAGTCAGACAATACACTAAAAAACAAACAGTGCACAGTAAAAGCAGGTTGATATGGAATGATCACACATGAATTATGAGAAAACCCGACAACAGTGTGTGAAGCTTAACAAATCTCAGGGACTACGTCATCTTTGCATTTTTGATGCCTGTCAGTAGTGCTGCACTGAAGACGACGTGTAAGTAGTCAGTTAAAATACGCACCTTTCACCGGGACACATTTGGAGCTGCCTTTAAGATACATTAACACAAAAGTAAAAAATAAATAAAGCTGTCTGCATATCAGATACATTTGGGCATAGCATCTTCATACATACAGATCCTAGTTACAGCGTGTCATGGTCATGGGTGTCGACGCTGAAACGCATGAATGCACTTGAGTGAGGATGATTCAACAAAAAAAATAAAACAATCACATGAGTAGCTCATTAGCTCATAGAAATGTTAAAGACACTGGGCTCAAGTTTTTCTGAGTGCAGGTGTAAACAGTAAATAAGGCCTTAAAGAATTTTAAGAAAATAAGCAATAAAAATATTTTTTAGTCTTGCTCCATGGGATTCTTTCCCTAGTCTTTTTTCTTTTGGAACATCTGCTTTGCATTTTAAGAGAAAAGGTAGAAAATATATCTATACATACATACATACCTATAGACATACGTACATATACATACATATATATACATATATATGTATATACACATACATACATATATATCAATATCTATCCTTTGGTGAGGGAAAGAACCCAATATCCTCTACTCTCCATTCAAGTAAAAGTGATTAGGAAAAAGCATACATAAAAAGAATCCTGTAAAATGATGTATCTCTCTTTGAGGCTTGGGAAGCTACCCTGAAGCAAGCTCTACCAACTTTGGGATAAATAATATTTACATATATATTTTTTTTGCATCATAGAAATGGCTATGATCAGATTAACTTTCCTCAGAGTGCACAGATATGACTTCATGGTGATTTGGCTCAAGGTTGTGGTGATTATTGCACAAATAAGATACACATTCAATGTGCACAGAGGAATAAGACTGGTGTTAGACCGCTGCAGTCGCAATAAGTTAGATCTAACTTTGTGACAACGGACACAGAAAGATACGGGTGATATTGGTTGTCCTCTGTTAAGGGTGAGGAAGCTGGGCAGGTACACCAGGGGTGCCTATGTGCAGGTTTGAAAACTGGCTGCAGCAGAGTGGAGACTTTGGTTCTGGTGAGTCCTCGAGAGTCAGAAGAAATGTAGAGACGTGTGGTGGAGAGCGTGGTTTAGAGGACAATATCGGACAGGAAAAGGTTAAGTAAGGGAAAGGGGGAGAATTTGGGAAGGAGGGCTGAAGGGCATGATGGGACTCAATCCTGCAGAAGGCTCTCCTCAGACATCCACCCCAGAGAGGGAAGCAGCTGCTCTCGCCTGGAGTACTTGATCTGCAGCAGGTCACCCACTTCACTGATGGCCTCCAACGCCTAGGACAGGAAGAAGAAGATTATTAATCCGAATCAAAAGAGACGTCATTTACATCTATTAAATTAGTAGAGATAGCCAGATATACAGCAGATAATAAAGAACCATACATCTTTAGAGGGGATTTCTTAGTAAAAAGTAATAAACCTTAATCACACTTGATTTTAAATCATTCAACCTGTCAGAGAGGCGAAGGAGAGGGGGCTTCGAAAAGCAAAGGTGAACAGAAGGCTCCCTGTGTGAACCACAACTAAGCACAAACTCCTCCACTTCTTTCCACAAGAGACTGTATCAGTGTTGCAGCACTGCAGGACACCTGGAAACAATTTACCTTCCTGACCTTTTTTCTGATTCCGTGGTTTGAGAAATAGCGAGGGCTGGCTTTTCCAAAGACGAGAGGGAAAAAGCGGCTCCTCGCAGCGCTCTACAAAGACAGGCTGATGCCCTTTAAATGGACTATTACAAACAGTGTTGACATACTCTGCAGTAAGATGAATGAAGTGTCTTTGGAGAGACAGAACAGCTCGAATTAAAGTCTCTGACTGAGCCACGCTGTAATACTTAGAGACAGCTTGGCCTTCCAAGTTCCCTCTTAATAAAGGACATATTGGGGGCCTTTAATATTCAACACACACAAACAGACACACAGACACACACTGACAGTCAGCAGCCACACAGGAAGATCTGGTTGATTAAAAGCTAAGAAAAGCCTACTGCATGCTTGGATCCACAAACACCCACAGGTCCAAACAAACTCCTATATCATACTGAGGATAAAATGAAGTCTTCAGCAATAAACTAGATCCAGTGGTGAGGACCAACAACAGATGGATCTTTCTCTTTGCAGTTTGACAGCGTTCAACAAAAAATGTAATAGCTTTTGTCCCGGATTGTCAAGGAAATCGTATTTACAGTTTTGGAGAATGTTCTAATATAAAGAAAACGTTCATTCAAGAAGGTAACTAACATGTTAAATTAGGTTTTTAAGCCAATGTTTCCACGTCTATAAAATCTGTTGTGTTTCTCCTGCTACTGGAAAGTATTCACACCAGTTTAGAGTAAACAGGGTCCTTCTTGCCATCTAAAAACATCTAAGAAAAGCCTCTGATAGCAGAAAATCAAAGGCAAAATGGCAAGAGAATACCATCAAGGTTATTGATTTTTATGCAACACTTAAAATAAATATGGACATGCTCATATTTTCGATTTATTAAGTGTTTCAGACAGTGATTTATTGGAGGACTTACTGTGTCGAGCATCTCTCTGGTATGAGCAGCTGAAACGCAGAAGCGTGCCCTCGACTCGATGATGGGTGTTGCTGGGAATCCGACCACCACTGTGCCGATGTTCCTCTTCAACATCTCCCGACCAAATGCCCTGCAAAGCAATAGCGACATTAGACACAGGGCAACATAGTCCAAAATGAACTCTTATCTATCACTAAGTGAAAAACTGAAATTGTGAAGTCAAATGATGAGTATAGATCAAATAACATGAGGTGAAAGGCAGCCTACCCGATTTTGGCAGGCATGTATAGCATCATAGGTACGACGGGCGAGTCATCGTTTCCGTAGATGATGAAGCCTATGTCACGCAGTTTCCTGCGGAAGTAGGTGGTGTTCTGTGAGAGCTGCCTGAGGCGATCAGCACCTGGAAAAGACAGAAACACACAGAAAGTTGAATTTTGGAACTGGATTTAACAACACAGGCATGAGCTTGTTCGAAAAGTTACTGTTACTCAGAGCCAGCCTGCTGGGCAGTTAGCGGAAATTATACAGTTATTAATTACTGAGTTTATCAGGATTAAGGTTTTACTGTACTGTCAGGCTTTGTCTACGCTACTGCAGATATCTTTCCCCCCGAATCAAAAGTAAAACAAACATGCCGCGCCAGTAGATGGTAATAAAGTTTACATCTATGATCCGTCAAATACCAGAGAAGAACGAACGCTGTTGTCGAAATAATAATATTGGGCGAGGTAGATGCCTGTTAATGCTGCTGATGTGGTGCAGTGATGCTAAATTTATCTGCAAACGTGTAATTAGATCCAGCAGTGCTAACCAAACGTAAAGAAAACCAGCAAACAGGCGCCAATTGTTGTTGTTCTGGTGCATTCTCATTTCACTAAGCAACAGAGGGAATGCACAAAGTAAGCTGTGACCTCATTGTTTCCCAAGCGCTCTGTTCTACATGTACACAAGGATACACAGAAAGTGAAGTTTTTAAAACTCTGCACGATGGGAGGTGATTGTAAAAATCTGTTTTAGTGACTTAAATCAAATTTTGCTTTTGAAAGGTTCGTTTTGCAAAATATCCACATTAGTGTGGACAGTGCTTCAATGTACATCATGTATGAAGACTTAAGACTCTTCTGGTTCAATCATAAACCTAAAACATTTATTTTACATCTATTTATTTTATTTTTCCCCCAATTTTCTGCTGCATGTACAAAACCACAGTGACCTCTCACATACGTTTTCACTTAATGGGCTCGATTTCATCTCATCGTCATCAACATTTTGTCACAAACACATGTGGGCAGATCCATTAAACAGCAGCAACTATTCTTCTACTTTCAAGCTTCATAAAATTCAATCATCAGCTCTTGTTCAGAGGCCAAGTGAAGGAAATAACATCTCTCTCTCTCTCTCTCTCTCTCAATGACTTTTCCGTCATCTCTGTTTTCTGGATTCCTCTATTTAGTTTGCTCTTTAACTGCAGAAAATGAAAATGAACATCCGACAGCATGAGCCAAAGTTAGTTATACACTGAGCGGAGGTAGAGTCAAAAGTCAGTGTGAATGAGCCACGTCCCACTCCAGTAACAAAACCATGTCAGAAAAGAAAGTGCAGGAAACTACAGGACACTCTGTTATGTTATATGTATATTTGGAGACAGCACGACATAATTCGCCTTTTAAAACAACCAGGATTCTTAAAGTCTGAGGTCAAGGGGCTGAAACTACACAGGTATCAATCATCACGGGTCGGTCTGACAGAATATTGTGGATTCACTCACTGAATCCCTCAGGCCAAGCCTCCAAAGACAGCTTCTTAACCCAACAAATAACCATAGCGCACGAAGCGCCAACAGCAACACACATCTGCCTGGCTGTGCTGAATAACAGAGCAGAACCATCACAGCTTCAAAGAGCGGGCGAGACACAACAAAGTCTGACATTATATTTATCCAGACATTTTTCTGTTCACAGACAAAGAATCCCAAACTATTTCTCAGTACAGAGTGATCAGTTGGCCAAAACCTGGAGAGTCGGATATTCAGACATTTTTATATCAAAATGTATTAGCATTCTTGTTGTTATGAAAAACTTATCCAGTCATGTACCCTCATGCCCCTTCCCCATATCTGATTGATTTGAGCTTCAAAAACAAAATGTCAATTTTAATGTAGGCCGGTGCCAGGAACCACGAGCGGCAGCTCGAATGCAGCAACAAACCGTTGCTCAGCTGTCACTTTGACTTCATGTCAGTGTCTGCGTCTTCAAAAGGCTTGAATTTCAAACAGTGACGGGGCTGCAACCAATCACACTACCATTGTTAGTCTTCTACAAGGAAAACATGTCAAGCTGGGATACGCTGCAAGGTCAGCCAGTCTGGAGAGAGAGCTGATGTTGCTGTGGGAAGGCTGTAACTAAAAAGAACCTTCCAGGTGTATTCCTGTTCCTTATGGCTGAATGACTGGGAGAGCTATGTAATCTGATCTCATATTAGCATGTTAAGGGAATCAATCAAGCCCTCTAAAAGAGGTGCCGCCCTGCAAGAAAAACAAGCCCTGGTGATCTGCTTGTGTGTGTAGGACATGAGTCTACAGCGTTTGTTCTGTACCCTGAGGACCATGCTGCTTTATCCCCAGCATGAACGTATAGAAGCACAGAGAAACAGAGAAAAGCACATCTGAAAGCCATGAAGGGAAATGGTAGAGGAGTCAGCGTGCAGCCAGTTCAAGACCTTTCATCAGACTGGCCTGAATCAGAAAGAAGCTAGGAACCAAGTATGCTGCAACCTACTGGCAAAGGGTTTTAACTACAAGGGGGAAAACATTTACTCCAGTCAGTGTATGTTGAACAAAATGTAGGACAGAATGCGCAGCTTCTAAAGAATAATAAATCTGCTTTCCATGTGTGAGCTTTCTACAGCTGAATATGGTCCAATGCTGCTTTTACCTACAGCAAGTTGGTGTTTACTGTGTAATATTTAACATTATTTAATATATTTATTATTGTGCTGCTGCACTGCATTTAATTATTACTTTTAAAACTTACTTTCTCTCAGCACCTCCCAAATCTCACAGACTTCCAGCATCCCTGCCGACCACTTATCAGCTTCTAAAAGCTTCACATCCTAAATGGATAAGACAGGAGTTGCTGGAAGAGAGACATCCTAATATGCAAAACCATGCGCTAGAAATTAAACTATATTAAACTAATACTGTATTTTACTGATCCTAAAAACCACAATATATAATAAGCAATATTTTTCCTAATTAAAACAGTAACATTGAGAAAATACCAACTGTCACTGCAGCCATCTTGAAAAATAAGATCATGTGACAAAACAGGAAGTGATGAGAGATGAACTTTGCATCGCACTCTACATGCTCAACCCTGTAGCAGTGAGTTTGATACGGCTGTGTATCAAAGCTTTATTTACTGGTGAATAATTGCCAGTTTGCCACTGATAGTGGCCTTTATCACACATGGAAATAAAACATATTAAAGGTTAATAAGTACTCAGCATGAAGGAGTCAAAGTACAAACACTGCTGAAGTTGATGGGAGTTGAAAGAAAGATTACAACAGTAATAAATGTCTGACAGATCTATACTGCCATCTTGTGGTCATGTCTATAAACACAGTTAAATCCTTAACTCTAGTGACTCTGAAACATTTAGTTGCTGCTGCGACTGCAGGAGAAAATGGAAGGAAGAAACCTCACAAAGAAGAAGTTCAGCAGTCCAACATGTAGTAATCACAACACAGTATGAACTTTGATTTGGCATCAGGTGCTTGACCAAACATTAGATTTACAAATCTGTGGTACGTTCAGCATAGAATGACAAACTAAAGCTCTTGGGAAACCACATGCAAATGATATGATTAGTGTCATTTTCTAGGACCTAGTCAAGTCAAAGTGTATTTACATGGCAACTTTAAAATAACTAACACTGACCTACAGGAGTAAAAAAATTAAAATAAAAGAATTACAAAGAAGAAGAGAAAAAAACTAATAATACAACCGCAATAAAACTTAATAGATAAAATCAAGGTCTCAAATTTTAAAACCATTGAGATGTGGGTCTTAATCAATGATTTAAAATGTACTCATATGAATAGATGAACTGTTCCAGACATACCTAGTGTGGTCCCATCCTCTCCCATGATGATCTTCATAGAAGTGATTATTTGCTGGACCACGGGGGAGGACATGGAGGTGGCATACAGGGCGCTGTGAGAATAGCCCCGCAGGTAGTCGATAAGCTCCTATCAGAGAATAATGACATTGTTGGCAAGTGACAACAGCGACATGATACAGGACCCAAAAAAAGGAAGTGAGGAGATCACTGGTCTACCACACTGATGCATAAAACTAGTAGGTATCATTATAATACAATTCTGATGGATACAACAGTGTGATCTAAGAATTTTAAAAACGATAATGTCTTTACATAAGGCTTTAAATCATTAGTACAGGTACGTAAAACATTATTTATAATATATCAATACTAAATGGCTTCTTAAAGACATAATGTCACCAGGTATGAAGTAATGTAAAGTCATTAAGGCTACTTGTTTGTGATGGTAAATAGAACTATGTTGTTAAATGTTTTTTCTGTGGTTTAGAGAAATTTTAGAATTTAGGACAAGATGGTGAATATCCCTGGTCCTGTAAGAATGTGTACTAATGTGTCACAGTGAGCACTATCTGTTTTTGTGTTGCATAAGGTGGAGTTCAATCTAGTGTATTTTTGCTTTGTGGTGATATTATTTTAAACTCAACTGAAGCAGCACATGGTTTCAGATGTGTTTGCAGTTTCACTCTGAGAGTTCATACTGAGCCCAATTCTTTTCAGAGAATCAGGAAGTTAAATGTCCCATTGCTGGTAAACAATTGACCAACACCAATACTGAATGACACACCATGTGTTGGGTTTCATCAGTCTGGGAATTTGCTCACGTCACAAAACAGGATGACTATTTGCTCCAGCTATTATATCTTCCCTTACGACAGAGGAGGCTTCATGTTCAACTGATAGGCTTTGAAGTCTCATGTGTTCACTCACCTTTTTGCCTCCGATGTATCCACCGGCAGCACCAAAGCTCTTAGTGAATGTTCCCATCATGATGTCCACATCTTTGGGATCCAGGCCAAAGTAGTCCACCACTCCCCTGCCGTTAGGTCCTAGGGCCCCAATGCTGTGGGCCTCATCCAGGTACAGATAGGCCTTGTAGCGCTTCTTCAGAGCAATGACCTCTGGCAGACGCACTATGGACCCCTCCATACTTTAGGATAAAAACACGAAAGATAATTATTAACCCATTATAAAAAGCTCCAAAGGCGCTTTAAGGTTCAGTATTCAATCCCCTTGGTTTGACAAATTGCATATATTTTAAATAAAAATAGCATGACTTTCTTAAAAAAAGACATATTTATTAGACCTGAATACTTTTTGAAGCCACTGTTAAAAAAGGTTTTTGAATAACCTTTCCCTCTACAATACACTAATCTGAGACTGATATCTACAATCTACTCCAAACATCACACAGCTGCAGTGTAACAGAGGGAGCATGCCAGCATCTGACCCTGTAGACAATTACTTGGCTGTGCATGTGTGGCTGTCAATGTGTGTGCCAGCACTGTCTATTTTCGCAGTTGTACCAATTGGTTAGAAAATCCCAGTGGAAATGAAACTCCATTAACAAAGCATTACTAAAGGGCATTGATTATGTCAGGCAGCCTAGCTGAGAACTGTATTGATCAACACGATTGATTGCCTTTATAGTAAGTACTCTTCAAAGAACAAGGAATATATTATCGTAAAAAGGAGAGCTAACACGCTGCCAGAACACAGATGTATTGTAAGTGGCTTTTGTCATTTTCTTGAAACTTTCCTTCCAGCCCCCAAGCAGGACCATGTCTGGAAACCTAAGTGAGTGGGCATGTTGATGACATTTCTACCATGCAACAGACCAAAACTGGATGAATTCAAAAATATTAGAATAAAAAAAGAGGTGTAGAGAGATGTAAAATTGGAAAGACAATGAGATTTGAGGTCCTTTGTGATAAGGGCCGATACCATTGTCAATGTGCTGTGAACAAAAACACTTGACTTGAATACTCGGGACATTTTCCTGTTGACAATCTCTTACTGCATTCTTCATATGTGAAAGGAAACTGCAGAAAAATGTCCAGAGCCAATTTTCTGTCTGAAAACAGCATTGGTACTATTCATATTTTGTAAAAATGTCTTTGTATAGTATGTTTTTATGCATGCTTCAGTGTAACATCAACAACATCAATGTAGACATTTGTTCTTACACTAAACTGCTGAAAGAATTCTTCACTTATAAACGTCCTCCAGTGTTTTACTGCTGCAGAAGTGAAGACGGAGTCAAGTTCTCGTCATAAATAGAAGCCTTTGAATGTATGGGTGATTTGTACTGTGGCAGCATAACGTGTTAAATAAGTCACAATTCTGCTTTTTGTATGCATCATGGGTGAATACTATACACTACTGTTGAGTAAATGAACCAGTCAAACTAAATAAAGATAAATGAGTCTTCACCCTGAAAACTGTGGGTGTCAAGTGACTGGCAGTAAACACAAGTGTAGTGTGACACAGATGTGACATAATGATATTCACAGTGAAATAAAGCAGAAATAAAACTTAATTAGCTGAGTTAGAGTAGATTTTATGGTAGTAAATTATCCAGCTTGGGCAATTTAAGACTGACTGTTATTGTGAGTAAGAGTGCGGCTGAGTACTATAGAGAAGTGTGAGCTGCCGGACAAAAATGATTTATACCTGTATATTCCCTCCACCACAATGAGGATTTTCTTCCAGGGTCGGTGGGTTCTCGGCTGCCCGTGTGCGATGGCGTCTCTCAGCAGCTTCTCCAGGCTTTGCATGTCTGCAATACAGAGACGTGTCTGAATAAAAGACGTTTTCACACAGGTTTTAAGTTACTCATGAAAGACTAGAGAGTAAGTTGTCAGCTAAGGATAGATTTAATTCCTCTAAGGTAACACGAGATCTTTTGTTAACTAATAGATGAGAGTCAATATTTTATGATTGCAACCCTTTGAAGCATCGTCTGCTTCCTGAGAAGCCTGGTTCCTGGTTACTGACAGTTAGTTTGGATATGTCAGGATGTGTGTTTGTGTGTGTTGTGTGTGTGTTTGTGTGTGTGTTGTGTTGTGTGTGTGTGTGTTGTGGTGAATTAATGTAGAATTGCAGAAGTAGAGGAGTTAAATAAGTGAACAACTGCAGTAAAAACAAATGAGCATTGAGTGAGACAACTTGCTGAAAGATGCACACACCTATTTACTTTCCAGCTGAGTAAAGCAGATTAAGCTAATTACTGTCTAACTGTCGGAAAATCCATTGTAGACACTTTAATCCTATACATCTGCGTTACTGCAAGCTATGGGTGTGCCCCAAGTCACGGTTCTCTCTAGCTGATCTCATGAAAGATGCTTAATATCGGAGATCACTCACTGTTGTGTTTGAAGACCCGAATTGTAGAGCCAGACAGACGGGCTCCCAGCACCAGTGACGCGTGATTCAGCTCGTCACTCAGGATGAGACAACCCTAAAACAAGACAAAAAAGGTTCAGTGTGTGGAATGTTTTGAAGTTTTTTAAACTGGTGATGGAATTCCAATGCAACAGTTACAATCAAACCACAAATTGCAAAATTGTAATGCACACCAGGAGCTCACATACTTTTTAGTGTTGAGCAATGACTCATATTTTGTCATTATTATGGGATGCCTGTAGATTACTGCTGTGTATAGACCGATTCTTATAATAGGAGAATTGTTGATTCTCATTCCGACCCTATTACCTTGCACGCAGCAGAGTATTGTTTTCAGCTCTGTCTATGTAAGTGTGCTTGCAAAATAACTCAAAAATGCAGGGATATTTTTTTTTTTAACTGAACTTTGGTGTGAATATTACTTGGGTGTGTCTCCATCAGTTAGGACGGGCGTGGGAAACGACTCCCAATCGAAACTGTCTGCTTCTTGTGTGAACTTGCACAGTAAAAGCGGTTTCTCGAGTTTATGCTGCATCTTGTCTTGATGCCAAAGAAAATCTTTATGCATGACCTATGCCGCGGGTAGGATTTTAACTAATAAGAACCTTACTAAAAGGTAACAGAATAAGATATGTTAATAACAATAAAAACAAACAGGATTCTTTTTAAAGCTTCCCATAAACACAGGATTCTGATGCATATCCACATGCTTTATTCAAAAGCAAGAAAATATAATAACAGGATGAGATTTTTTTTCAGTGCATCATAAATAAGCCAACACACCCACACACTTACACAGGTCCCTTCCTCTGGTCAATGAATAAATGAGCTTGTTACACAACACACAAATATGCCTTGACATAAGGATGTGAGTTAGCAGGAAAGCGACAGGCACAGTTCTGAATTAATGAACTGTGCATGAGACGTTTACTGTTGCACTGAAAGTTTCCCTCTTTCCACTGACATTTCTTTTTTGTATTCCACTCATGTTGGTGTCAGGAAATGTGTTGTTTGACTCACAAGGTACACATGCCTGTCAGCTTGGCTTTCTACTTCCTGTTCAAGCAACACTGGACGTGGAAGAGAGGCACATGTTAAGACGCAAGTAAGGACAGGCACATGTGATTTGCGGGGGTTAGAACAACAGCGACTGGGATGGGCCAAGTAGCAGACTCCGACCTCCTGTACTCTGAGTGTTTTGAAAACTTTGGGCGGAAACAAGTGTGTTGTGGAACAGTCTGACCCTTCAAGTTTGGCAGTACATCTGAAAATGTAGCTTGTTTTCACTTTACGCAGGAAACTGGATTTTTCCTGAACAGTAAAACTGATAAAGTCACTTCCTTACAGTTCCTGTACAGGTATAAGGGTTATGGTGACTGAAAAGACGCAAAGAAAATGTTTAAATCAAATCAAGAGGAGTATCATGTTCTCGGCAGAACAAAAAGGGGATGAAATTCCGTACCTTTCCAGTGAGAGCAGGAATGTTCATGGAGTTGGTCGCAAAGCCCATACCAAACGCCATGGACGACTCAACACCCAGGAACCTGGCAACCAACTGCTCCAGCTCCTCATGAATGTCCAGGTTCCCTGGAAACAACATGAACTCAGTTTAACAAGTCCAAAGTAGTGTACTGCAACTCACAGAGTTGAGTGCCTATGTTTAAAGCTAGAGTTTGTACCACTGGAAAAGCTAGCAAGAGAAGGCTGCATGTTGAAAATCTGCTACTGATACATCCTACCCCCCAACCCATCCCTAACTTCTGGCTATCGTCTCTGCTTCAGTGTGGTACAGTATGTCTCTCCGTCTCCCTGCCTTGTGAAGACTTCGTCATCTGCAGCAAGAGTAAGATGCAGACGTGCAGGTTGATTTATGAAATGAGTGGTGTGCTTATTAGAGTCATGTGAGGCTGTTGGGATGTGAAGAGGATTTCAACGAATAAGATTTAAACAAATTCAGAAACAACTTGCCAACACTACATTTAAATGACAATTGTTTTCTTATACCTGTCAAAGATATACCTGTGAAGTCAGTCTACTTTCTTTTAACTGAAATACAATATTAACCCCAGCTTTCCTTTTGCTAAAGATAATACTGAACATAATCAGTGGAAGTGGGTGTTGAACCACCTGAGCTTTTTTAAGGAAGTCCACTTGATTCCTCATGGCTTAAGAGTTTCATTTTTTTAAATGAAAGCAGCCTCAGATGAGGACATACAATGACATATCCGCCTAGAAACCAAATCTTGTGCCTTTCAAAAGATTTGATTTTGACCCTTACCCATTTCACAGCGAGTACTGCCCACTCCAACTCCATACTTTTGTGTGGCTTCAATAGCAGCATCGGCGCAAGCACCAGTGTTTTCAGCGAAGCCGAGGTAATTGTATGAGCCCATGTTGATGACGTCTTTCACCACTTTGCCCGTGTGCCTGAAGGAGACAGAGAGTTAGACAGAGAACAGGTACCATGACTTTACTTTAAAAGTTCAACACTGTGACCTTGTCTATGCTGTTTGCTTGATAATAATTTCCAGCTCAGTGTTGTCCTTTAACTGCCGCTGTTATCATGCACCGTGATAACATACTATATTTTATTGTCCCGGGGACAAAGACAAGCATGGATCAAAAGCTGTGCATATTATACAAATGAGATAACTATGAAAGGTATAACACAAGCACATTCACTTACAAGACAGAATAACCTATTTTGCCATCTTTAAGAAGTGAAAAAAATCCTGGATCATCTCCGAAATTTAATAGGTTCTTTTTTTGGTCATCCACACAATATAATGGGAATTGAGTTGAGTGTTTTTTGCGTAATGCTGCTAAGTAACAAACACTGAACACAATTGTATTGATACTAAATCATACTACTAACATTTGTAGAGGGCTGCAAGTTCCACCCTGATTTATGGTAGTGGGTAGTGTTTCAGTTCAGAGCCACGTGACAGAAATTAGTGCTTTCAACACAACCACCTATATCACTTATATCCCTCAAGATATCATAAATACGATGAGTCAAAAGCCCACACCTGTGAAACAACCTCCACAGACAACGCCTTGCACATGTACACACTCAAACTCAACTACACATACTCAAAACCACAAGGCAGCAACTTACTCAAAGGTCCAATTGTAGTCGTGGGAAACCCTCTCCACCAGGTCCATCTTGGCACCCGGGACGCTACAGATGGGTCGGTTCCAGTTGTCTCGGATCCTCATGTATAAGTTCCTGGTGTAAAAGTTCTCAAAGTCCTGATAGAGTGGGACAAAATCCTGCAGAGGAGAGATGACAGAAACAGAGGTAGATAGATGATAGAAATCCGACACGAGTTGTGTGTTTGTGTGTGTCTGTGTGGGTAAAAGACTCTCAACCAGGTAATAATTAGAGACACTAGATGGTAGAATAAGAGCAGTAAAAACATATTAAAATGGTAATGAGTCCTCATTCCTAATGTCATGGTTGTTTTTCAATGTGTGGGAATCAAAGAAAACAGTCACTGCTGGTGTGTATAGGTGTGAAAATGAGCATGAAAGACTGACAGTGATCGAGGCCAGACACAACTGAACATCAGATTCCCAGAGGTCGCAATGACTTTAATGTTTCTGTCAATAAATTAGTCAGGAACTGCTTAAAATTCATTTGGTTTTTAAATCATCCTCTGTATGCAGAAGGATTTTAATGTAAATATTTATCCACCTTCTGCTCCTCTCTCTCCCGGGCCACGTGGCACTTCTCAATGTTCCAATGGCGGAGGAAGTCTCTGAGGTAGCCGAAGATAGTGAGGATGCCGTAGCCCATGTAGGTGAGCACGGCCACCATTAGAGGCGTCTCCTCAAACGACTCCATGAAGGGCGTCTTGTACAGGCTGGAGTTATGAGGGATATTTCGGTTCTGTGGGAAAATAAAGTAGGAGAGGCTTTGTTTACATTTCAAGTTATGATTAAAATGTGTTTTTTAGGAATTTAGCACAGCTTTTATCAGAGCAAGACCACGTTTTTACAAACAAATCAGAGACTAAGGAATTCAGGAACTGATTAATGCTGTAAGGAGTATAAAATAAATGTTACCTAACTCAGAACACTTCTTGTTCAAACAGGCTATTGCACCAGCTAGTAGCTTCTCCTTTAAAAGGTAATTGTTTATCTATGCTTAAAGTTTGTTAACTCATTAAATCTGCCACACTAGGCAGCCCAATAAACTTTGATAAAAAGCAGACCAGGGTAATTCAGCAAAGGCTGGGCACGCACTACATGACAGCAGGGCTGATTTGTTCAAATTGTGTTTTTCTTGGAAAGAGATTTAGAAGCCAAATAATGACTCCATAAGCACATTTATAAATGGAGGCTTTACCACGCCCAGGCCCCCATAGACCAGTGAGCAGTAAAATGAACATCAAGCCAGAGTTCTAATTCATTAAGTTTTATGAATAGCAATATTGATCCTGAATAATAGGTCTGTGCGAACATTGTCACATGCTGAAGAAGTGCCACATTAAATTAAAAAAAAGAAATTTTAGCATAATTTTCATGTCTGACTGTGGTCAGGCTGTCTACAAAACCAACACTAAACAAATGAGGGCAGTCACCTATTACAGACTCTACCCCGCAGCTTAGCAACCATACCCCATGTGACCAGTCATGCTTCTCCAAGAAATAACTCAGTCAGGGAACAGAAGTGCACTGAAGTGTGTGTGTGTGTGCTTTTGAAGCCAGTCCAACAGGTCCCTCTCACGAGTTCAATAAGTCTTTAAGTCTAATAACTATGGTTTGTGAATTGCCTCTATAGAAAAAGCACACACACCATATCGAAGCACACCACTCACAGTCTGTTGTCCACTGATGCCAACCACAGCAGCCAAATCCAATGTTCCTGACGTCATGTTTGCTTAATATTTTATGCCTGTGTATAAACAGAGAGGCCTGTGCCATTCCTTTATTGCTGGAGAGCAAAGCCATTAACCCAGAGGAGAATCGAACCAACACAGTCCTCTGAGATCCCTGCTCTATTCACATGCTTGCTCTTTAGCAAAAGAGCTGATGATCATATTACACTGCATACACAACAATAAGGGTTTGCACATGGTGGAGGTTTCACATTAGGCCTCAAACTGAGTAAATACGGGAGTGAGTCCTCTCACATCTGAAAACTGTCGATTCAACACATGACTCGTTCTCACTAAACATTTATTGACACTATCATCACAGATTACAGAAGTTAGTGAGATCCTTTATTCCACACTGCTCAAATGTCACAACAGAATGACATGGGGCCACTTCTTGACAATAGTAGCATTCCTAATACAGTATTTACATATTGATGAATACTGTGCATTACATCCTACATGTTAGGCCAATAACACTGTTTAAAATCGAGGAATAGAAACTACCAACGTACTAGTGTAGTTCACCTGAGAGATATCCAAATTGTCAAGGGCAAAAATGAAGAACATTTAATGTGTTATGTCATGTTGTGGTTTCAAATACTTTAGTACCTTTCTATTCCCAATTAGGACGATGGCATTACCAGCAGATATATAAAGTTCTTGCAGGATGAGAAGTAAGAGCAAATATGCACAAGAATCGAATTACTATGACAGCCACAGGATCTGGAGGTAATTGTATGAATCCAGCAAGTGTTGAAATCAACAGGAATGTGATGGTGTCAAACACCAGAGCTTGTGCTTTGTGTCATTTTGAGCGAAACACTAAGTGTGTGGAGTTTGTTTTATAAGACTGCTCCTAAGTGTTGATCTTAAACAAAGGCGTTAACCCCCACCAGCCACCACTACAAACAGTACACACTCTTATTTAGTGTGTGTGTGTGTGTGTGTGTGTGCTTCTCAGTCAACGACAGGAGGGACCACACCCTTCACAGCCTCAAGACATTCCTCTCCTGCTAAAGGGTCATGTGGAAGCAGGTCTGCTCTCCTCTCACAACACACACACACACACACAGACAGAGCCTCTCTTGTAACCACACAACAGGGGCCTGCTCCTCTTCATACAGGACACACACATACAGGACACACACAGGAGGTGCAGAGACAACAGGGTGTCAGGTTACTACAAAAGTCACTACAGCCCTCCCTGATCAGGTGGCACTAAACAAGAAGCGGCTCTCAAGCCTGAAACAGGAAGTGTTTCAGAAACCACGTGATGAGAAACTAAAGCGTTCAAGATGAAATTCCGTGTTGCTGTTGGCAACAGCTAGCCTGAAACATTTAGCCTAAAGACAAACCACCGATGCTAGGACACAGGCTAAATACATAAATAAGCTAAACGAGGCTAACTAGTGGCGTTAAGGTTTACATGCTCTCGTCACAGCGTCCACTCGTCCTCTTCCTGCTAATAAGAGTCACACGTTAATATCTGCAGTAGGAATTAACGATAGCATGTGAGCTAACTCTCGTCCCCTCAGTCAAACTAGTTTAGCACCGAGTCCCACACAGCGCCGCTTGTTTACAGCCCCCCCTCCTCCGCAGCGGGGACCGCCGGGCCTCTTTACCTTCTCCCTGGGGCGGCGATACTTCTGCGGCTGTCGGAACAAGCAGTGGCTCTTCGCGTAGCCATTTTTCCCGGGTGTTTTGCCGTTCGACGTCCGGTGACAGGCGTCCCCGTTGAACGTCTTGCTAGCGGAGCCTTCCGTCATGTTCGAACGTGGAAAATTTCACGACTGAAGCGGGCGTCGTTCACGGTGGACTCGGGGACGCGCCGCAGGAGGGAGATGCTGCGACGCCCACTCCGAGCAGCGAGAAGCACGAGCCTCCTGCCGGAAACACCCGCCCCTCCGCGTTTGTCATTGGCCGGAACGTCACTACCAAACAAAGATCTTCTATGTGTAAGAAGACTCACAACTCCAACCAAGATTGTTGATAACATCTTCACCCGGTTGTACTTTACACTGCTTGTTCATTTATTCATGTTATCCACTTAAAGAGAATTTAAAACACTCCATGTGTTTATATCCGACAACAATGGCAATAGAGTCAAAACTGATTCAATAATTCTCCATCATACTAAGTTGCCGGCAGTTGCAAACCATTTGATTATTAATCCACAGCATGATTTAATGTGCAGACTTTATATTTACATTATATTTGTGGAGTCTGTGTGATTAAATATAATAATAATAATAATAATAAACACATTTATTTTTCTTTTAGGTGACAGGTAATTTTTTTGAGGGGGCGGGGGGTGAAATTTGGTAGATCTAAACAACAATAAACTTTTTTCTTTTTGTGACAGGTGAGCATTTTCTTGAGAAATTCGAACTATTCAGTTTCTCTTTTTGGGGACAGGTCAATCTTGTCTTAGTTGGCTAATGGTGCATTAGGGATACCTGGGTTAATTACCTTGTATTATTTTCAACTACTAAACACTATACCCACATATTCTAGTGCATGTATATTTAATTTGCCTGTTTTTCTGCTGCCTGACATTATCATTATCTATTTTCTAAAAGCTGATCATGTATTGGGGCTTTGTATTCATATAAACACCAAATATGAGCAATTGTCATGTTTAAATAAAGAAAGTATTATTTTCTTTGCATTCAACAACAACATGACGAGTCCACAGGAGCTGTTTTTGTGGCATGATAATATAGGAGCAGTGTGAGATCTTCTTCTTTCCACCCTCTCTGCTGGGCGTCCCTCTCTCCAGTGTGGGACCTCCTAAACCCAACCTGTGGAAATAACTCATCACAACCTTTGCTTGCTGTGGGCGTCAGCTGTATTTCTCTCCAGTGACGTGGTTTCTCGCCTGGGCTGAGAGGATCCTGAACAAGGGTCAAGGTTAATTTCAAGATGATTCCCACAAGGGAAACAAGGTAGGGCAGTGGGCTGTGCCAAGACTAAACAATCACTCAGCTGATTTGTACTATTTCAGATGGTCTGTGAGGTTTTGGGGAGTATTGCAGAGGACTTTGTGGCTATTATAACTTTAAATAATAAACACAAAATGTCAGTGATGATCCTATAGTGTTGGGAAATGGTAATGCGTGACCCAAGATATTTTATCTGACCCACATCAGGCTGCGTAAACAACTCTATCTTCTGTCTCATGGCAGATAAGAGGTGCTCAAACCTCTAACTGATACAAGAGAGAGAAGCTTGCATCATAAATGATTTGAATTCATTACAGACACACACAATGACACACACACAGTATCTCACTGTTCCGGCAACTACTTAACTTGTGCTATTGAAATAAAGTTTATTATATTGTATGAATATATGGTTTAATCCCAGCTCCCCCCATTCCAGAAGTGTCCTTGGGCAAGATACTGAAACCCGAATTGCCCTTGAAGGCTGTACTGGGAGTGTTTGTGTGATGGGTGACACAGAAAGTGCTCTGTATGAATGTGTGAGTGGCAAAACTGTACTGTAAAGTGCCTCGAGTGGTCATCAAGACTCGAAAAGACAGAAGAAGAAGAAAACAACCTCTTACAGCAACAATAAAAGTGTTTTCAGAAAGAGTCTGTATTTGACGCCAGACCTCCAGGTTTGTACATCCTGTCCTCTTCCTGTTGGATAAGTATGTCCTGACGAATGACCTATGTTTGCATGTGTCTCAGGTAAAGTGTAATCAAAATGTATAACCATACAACTCATTTCGTCACCGTTAAAATGTATTTCCTTATGTGCTGAAGGATTATTTCAATGCTGAGATAATCTAACTGCAGTGCAGACTCTTAAAGGTTCAGTGAACCCACTCCTGCTCTCACCCTCCTAGATGGCAGTGTTGGGCCACACAAAGGTTGAGTCCTGCAGACCTACAATCTGAGGTTATGCTGATGTTGCTCCAGGTTACAGTTCAGTGTGGTGGCATCGAGGTACTGCCCATTGTTTCTGAGGTGGGACATCTTTGATTAAGACACCGGTGATAACATCTGATGATTTGATTCCCTAATCAGGTTTTTTTCCAGTTTGTTTTCTCTCAAGGTTGTAACCTTGAGCGCAGAATAATGACATGGTCCGTTCTTGCCAATGTGCACAAAGGCAGTTAAGCTCCCGTCCATTCCAAACCTGATAGTGGTGATAAGTATCCAGCCTTAATAGGATCAGAGGCAGGGTTAAAAAGAAAGTGGATCTGTTCTTATTGATACAGGTTTTGCAAGGACCTTTGAGGACACAGTAAAAACACACTGACAAAATGTATTTATAATTATATATAATTATAAAATGACAGTTCTACATGTGATCTCTATGTAAATAACATGATGTAAATAACTAATGAGCTTAGTATAGATACAGTGTAGAGGACATTTTTACATCAATGCAGAAATAACAGTTCGGGAGATATTGTCAGATCTCTCTTTGCTCCTTAAGTTATGTTTATAGAACACTTTATTATTCATTCTGTGCTGTCCTGCTCTATTTTGGTGACTTTGTCTTGTCTCCCATGTCCCGTCAAGTTTCCTTCCTGTGTGATAACCTGTCCCACTCTAATGAACCTGTGTGGAATTGTCTTCCTTGCCTTCGTATGTATTTAGTCTTTGTGCTCCTCTCAGCTGAAGCCAGAACGTAGCTTACACTCGTTTCTACTTCACGTTTTAGTCTTCAGAGTGTCCAACCTGTCTTTTGATACCCGGTAAGCCTTAAGTTACTCATCTGATACCGTTGCCTGTGTTTGAACAGTTTTTGTGTACCGACCTTGTTTTTATCAAAAGACTTTGCCTTTAGAACTTTCCTCGTCTGAGTCTTACTTTGGAGTCCTGTTGTGTTGAGCCAGTCTTGACAGATTGACATCCCTTTAAACACATAGTGCCCAAGTTACAAGGGTTTGAAAGTAATTGAACATTTTGTAACTAGATGTTCCTTGTGCAGCTTTGTAAAATTGAATGTGTGGAGTCGGTACTAGACCAATATGTGGGGGTGCGAATGTCTGTAAATGTATTTGAATTGATTTGAGCAAGAGAACATTCAACAATAAAACCATAAGCATGCAAGTTAATACAAGGCAATGACAAAGCTGAAACACTTCACAACAAGGTGGTGCATGACACACACACACACATACACACACACAGAGCATTACAGGAACATGTGCTGTGGCAGCACACACACACAGTCAGAGACCAGATTAGGAACATAGAAGATTTTTTTATTAATTAATTAGAAAATAAAAAGTACTGAAATAGAAAATGCTTGAGGGGGCTAAGCAAATTTGTGATGTGGCTATAGCCCCTCCTAGTGCCGTGTCTGCCTCAGCATCTTAATATGGTCCTTCATATGATCTGGATATTTACACAGCTGTAAAAATGATCCTCCTATTTTATATACATATAATAATTTCTTCCATTGTGAAGATCTACGATAAAACTAATTTCATCATAAACTAAATATTGAATATCTATAATTCTGGCTATTTTACCAAATATGATGCCCCAACATCATATCCAGTATCATAAATACTGTATTTCCACTGACAAGGTTACGTCACTGCTGATTTTCATACAGATCCATTTAAATGACAGATGATTTCCTATTCACCGAAGACGTGTTCCCACTCTCTGTGGCAATTTCCCTGCTTTGATGTCATCTAATGAAATCATCAGGAGAATCACTCTCTCATCCTCTTCCCTCTGCAGCCTATTAAGAGCCAGCGCTGCCAGAGAGGAAGTCGAGGCGTGCGGCCTGTTTTCATACTTCAGTGGCGTCTAAAGGTGGTAGATAACAAATGATGAAATCACAGTAGTACACAAGTAATAAATGAGTGTGCTCATTGCATGGAATTGTGCTCATACACAAATAGAGCGAGTGCAAGTCACATCTCAGTCCATTCTACTGGTGCCGGATAATTCCTGCAATTAGCGTTTGAAAAAAAAATGAGTGGCCATTTTAAAGTGGGAATAACGGAAACGAGAATGATTACACAAGTGCATCATCGACATATGAGCAACATATCCCCACTCTACCATCGCCTGGCTCAGCTCTTTCTTCAGATGAAGACATTTGCCGAAGTGTCAGTCACTTCCTGTCATAGCAAATCCCAGAGCGGTCCACGTGCACTCCCACCATGATCGGGCGGGCCCTGCCCGGTGCAGCGGGCAGACCGCTCTCTGACTGACACAACCATTAGAGATTGTTACGCCTGTCTAAACCCTCCCTCCATTATAGATTATCCCCAGAGTGAGTCACAGAGGAGAGGACTCCAGGATTCAGGTGAGGCAGCCGGGACGGACAGACGGATTGACAGGCGGGCCATTTTCCAGCAGAGCAGTAGACTCTGTCCGACTCTAGACTAGGCGGGTATAATGATGAGTGAATCCCAGCCTAAATATGCACAGATGAGGAACTAATGATAAGAGAGTCAGGTTGCTCAGGTGTGTGCTGCTGGAGGTGAATGTCAGTTTGACAAATGAAATCTATGGACTTTGTACACAGTATTCAGAATACAGAGCTGCACTATGAATTAGAGTGACAGAGCACATAGGACGAACTGCGTAAATACAAGCAGGCCCTCGAGGAATCTACTTTGATTTGAAGCTGGAGCACAATGGAGGCCATAATTTCAGCATGTACATTATTTTTAGGGCAATAAATATTACATGAATATTATCTACGAATGCGTGTTACAGCAGCATTAACATCTTGTGTGCTGGAGAAACACGGCATTGACATATTTTCACATTTTATGTTTTATGGCTAAAAGGGCAGTAAACAGCTGCAAACACCTTGCAGACATATTAATCTACTCGGAGTTGTGTTTCTGGCTGCTTTAAGAATCAAACACTGAAGTGGTTTGTTGCCTAATAGCTTTCA